GGTGGCCCCTTAGCCTGCCCATACCTGCCTTTCCAGGTGTGCCATCACCTGCGCTCACCCTAGAAGAACATACAGGAGCCAGGAACAGGAGTCTAGAGCCCCAGAGTCCTGGAGGAAGAGTGGTCCTCAGGGGACTGATTAGTTAGAGGGACAAAGGCGGAAAAGGGGGGCTGGTCACAGAGAGGAGAATGACCCAGCCTGGCAGGACAGAATGGCCAGACCCAGAAGCCCTGACCTCAGGGGGTCAGACAGGTGATGACAGGGAGCCCCAGAGCTCTGAGAGGTCTGGACTGATCACCAAAGTCACACAGTCAGCACAGGTGGGGTGAGGCACAAACTCAGTTGCAGCAGATGTGGGGTGGTCCTCTGGGGCCTCGCTGGACCCCAAAAGGGAACTGAGGGCACCCTGGAGCTGCACACATCCCAGCAGAGCAAAGCAGCCTGGGAACCTGCAGGCCCCTAACGTGCCCTCAGTGACATCCTGTGTGCACAGCCTCTCCAGGAGGCCCCTGACGCTGGAGGGCAGAGAGGCTGCAGGCAGGGAAACAGGACCCTGCAGTCCATTTCCAGAGCAGGAGGAGCGGGCAGGGCTGTGACAAACCTAAGCCCAACTCACCCCACTGGCCCCCGCACAACACTGGGACAGCTGCGATGCCCAACTTGCAAACGAGCTAACTGAGGCTCAGAGAGGCCAGTCAGCATCAGAGATCACGGAGCTTCTCAGGGGTTCCTTAGGACACGGAGGGCTGTCAAGTATACCCTACCCCCACCACCTCAGTGTCACCCTCAAACGGTCAACCCAGAAACAAGCAGGGCCCCGAAACCTGATCTGTGTGGAAAGTCAATCCAGCCAGACATCATAGAGATGGGGAACAGGAGCTGGCTGGGGCAGCCCATATCCCAAGGAGAAAAAATGGGGGTGCCCTGAAGCGAGGAGAGCGGAATACTGCCCTCTGAACCAAAGCCCAGACACAGCAAGGAGGTGGAGGAGCTGCTGGAACCCAGGGGGAGGTGGAAGGGATGGGAATGGGGGGGAAGGGATCCAGGGGGGAGGAGGCAGAAGGGGAAGATGAGGGGGGAAGGGAGGGAGGGGCTCAAGAGGAAGGGGACAGAGGGAAGCGGGGAGGGGCTCGGGCCCTCACTGGCAGTCCTGAGAGCCTGTGAGGTGGGGGTCTGCGCCGGAAGAGGCAGCCCCTTCAATCCAGGCTGACCTGCATGTACGGCCAAGCTCCTGCCTGGCTCCTGGGGAAAAACTCCAGCTGGCTTTCCCTGCGCTTTCCTGGACCTTCCCTGATTCCTTCTCCACTTGGTCTGGGAGCTGGGGAGCTAGGGGCCCCGGCATGTTCCCTGGGATCCCTGGGAACGGGGAGCACCGGCACCGAGCCGGGCCAAACCTGAAAAGCAAGTTTCATCCTGGATCTTCCCCACCAGAAAGTCCCCGGTGGGTGGGGGGCCTGTCCCGTCTCGGACTGGGGCCTCTGCGTCTAGGCCCCACCCAGACCGGCACGCAGTCCAAGCACACGAGGACCGGCTGCACGGACCTGGGCACCCTGCTCGCGGCGGCTGGGCAGTAAGGCCTGGGGGGCAGGGGGTGTCCCGAGTCCACTGGCCGGCCGGCCCCGGACGCGCTCGGGCGCCGCGACGAGGCCGGCTTCCCGCTCCGCGGAGGCGGGTGGCCCCGGCGGGCAGGAAACCGGGACCTCGGGGCTGACCGCGGGACTTCTCCGGGTCGAGGGCGGGGGCGGGCTGTGCCGCCCCCGGCCCACCGCTAGGGAGGACTCCCGCTGCCCAGAGCGGGACCCGCGGACGGGCCCCGGGAGGTCCGGCCCCGACAGCGCCCACCCGCGGGCGGGGGTCGGGGCCGGGGTGCGGAGCTCCGGCCGCTGGGGGTGGGGCGGGAGCCGGGCTGTCCCGCCGGCCGGCCCGCGGACGTGCTAATCCGGCCACTGGCTATTTTTGCGGCGCGCCGGGCGCGGAATCCAGGGCCGGGCGGGCAGGGCAGCTCCGCGGGGACCTGCGGCCTCGGCCGGGGGACTCGCCCCGTCGGCCCCGTCCGGCCCGGCCCGGCCCGGCCCCGCCCGCCCCGCCCGGCCCGGCCCGGCCCGGCCCCGCGCGCCGCCTGCTCACCGCCGGGTCCGCGGGGGTCCTGCCGGCTCCAGGGAAGTGCCGCCGCCGCCGCCGGCCCGTCCGGCCCGCCGCCCGGGAATGCCATGGAGCAAGGGGCGTGCGCCGGGGGCGGGCCCGGCCGGAGGGGGCGGCCGCGCTGACTCAGGGCTGAGGAATGCGCGCGGCGCGCCCGGCCAAAGAGCCGCCTCCTCGGGGCAGGCCGCCGGGCAGCCCGTGCGCGTGCCCGCGGGGGACACCTGGGGCTCCAGGCGGACATCGGGCCTGGAGACCCCACTGCATGGAGCCTGGCGGTCTCCTCTCTTGGAGGGCAGAGAGGGTCCTGACCTGTGCCACGGCCTGCGTGAACAGTCTCCCCAGGGAAAATGACTATTCACTGACCCCTGCCTCACAGCGGCAGGGAAGCAGCATTTGTGCAGCCTACACAGGCACTTCAGCTCACACCCCTGCTATACCCCAGCTTATACCCCAGCTCACACCCCTGCACACACCCCTGCATGCACATCCCAGCTCACACTCCGGCACACACACCAGCTCACTCATCCCAGCCTTGCAACCCAGCACCTTGCACCCTGCTGCACCCACACCCCACTTTGCATCCACACCCTGGCACATGCATGCCACCATCAAGGGTGGCACAGAGCGGACCCGTCTATTGTAGGCGCCACAAAAAAACACCTGATGGTGCAGGAGCAACGCACAGCAGCCTTGCAGCCTTGCAGCAGAGACACCCTAGGCCCATGCCCACCAGGGGCTCCCTTCACTGAAGGTGCTGCTGTGCGCCAAAGCATGTGCTTCTTGGAGGCGAGGGGCGGGGAGAGGCCACTGTGTTCAGTGATAGGTCAGTGACCCTCCTCGGTTCATGCACTTCTCTTCTGGGACCCCCAGCTGCAAATCTTCCAAAGGGCTGTTGCTCTGAGACATGGCCTGGGGCACTGGCAGGTGATCCTCAGTCCACCCTGGCATCAGAAGAATTGAAATAGAAATGGCAGTTGACCACACTCCCAGAAAGGGCTGGGCACAGGTACCCATACAGGTATACCCCATGGCAGTTGACTTTTTGCTAGGACAGAGTGGGTGGGAGCACTGGCTAGCAGGAGCCCTATCAGCCCCCTCTGCAACCCTCAGTTCAGTCACAGAACTTTGGGAGACCTAGATGAGCCCAGAATCATCCTGTGGAGAAGGTGGTGATGAACGGCCCAGCCAGGGCCCCAAAGTGGTCTCTCACATGTGTCAGGGCATGGCTGGGTCCCCCAAGCACTGGGTTCAGGTCCAGTGCCTCTGGAAGCAAGGCTCCAAGGAGAGTGGCCCTCACACAACCTGTAGCTGTGTAACCCTCTCTTTCCTGTCAGTCAGCTGGGTGTTTTCCTCACACTCTACAGGGCCTTCCCTTCACTGGGCCCTTGGAGTTGGGGTGGGGGGCTGGGGCAGCGCCCGTCTCCATATTCTCTGGAGGGAACCACAAATGCACACCCCACTATCACTGCAGCGGCAGTGTCATCACTCCAGGCCAACAGTAGGAGACACACAATGGTCCCCCACCCACCACGAGAGCGCCCCTCCTGCGGTCCAGGCCAGAGCGGGACCAGTCCACCCACCACTTCCAATCTGCGGTGGGGGCGTCAGACCACAGACCAGGAAGTGGGGGAGAGCACGGGGGTTGCGCAAGCCCCATTGCTCAGCCGGAACATCTGGAGAAGTGGGTTGCTGGCACTGGGCCTGCCTCCTCCTTCTGGGGGCCAGGCTTGCCTCTCAGCCTCTCCTCATATCTCTGGGGAACGTGTGGACACCCCCAAGATCTCTTCAACGATCAAGCTGTTCTTGTGAAATCACAACAGAAGCCCCTGCCCTCAATAGAAAGCCTCAGTTTCCCTCCTAGGGGAAAGGAAAGAGGGAGGAGAGCTGGCACAAAGGCAGGCAGGAAGAGGCCACAGTTCCACGCTGGGGCTGCTGCGCGGGGAGGAGGGCAGAAAGGGGTGGGTGTCGTCCAGGCTGCTTCCCGGCACGGACTCAAGGCCCACGCCCGCCCCCGGAAACGCACAGAACCGCCAACAGCGGCTGGCGTCCAGCCGGCCGAGCCCCGCGCCTCCCTCCCCAGGAAGTGCGGCCCGGGGTGGGGGCGGGCGGGGAGGGCCAGAGTTCGCTGCTGGCGAGCCGGCCGCCGCCTCCCAGCTGACGCTGCCTGGCACCGGGGCCCGTCCTCGACGGGTCCCACACACCTGTCACGCCTCCCACCTGCGCCATGCTCCCCCCAGGTGGGCTCCGATGACCCTAGGGTGTTCTCGGGCCAGTGACGCTGTGAGTTAGCCCAACCGCTCCCGTAAAGGTGGAAGGCTGGTTGCAAACCAGCCCGGTGCCCAAACACCCCTCCCTCAAAGTCCAGTGTTCCCTCCTGGGGGAGCAGATGGACCAGAGAGGCCACTGCTGGGGGACATCAGAGGGCAGGCTTGTCTTCCCGGGCGGGGGTGTTCTCAGGCCTCAGGCTCGGAGCTGCCGGCCCACCCCAGGAAGTGGGCGGCGCCCTCGGCCCCCTCCGGAGACCGGATTCCGACTAGGAGCGAGGACCACCCCGAAAGGGCATCCGGACGGGTCTGGCGGCGCTTCCTGCCCCCGCCCCCGCCCCCGCCAGCCTGCCCTCCGTGCCACTCCCCTCACGCAGCTGTACTGCCCCGCCGAGCTAGCCCCCAGCCGCGGCCAGAGCGGACTAGGGTCCGCGAGGTCGCGGGGCCCGCAAGGTCGCGGGGCCCGGGCAGCAGAGCCCCACAAGGCGGCCGAGGCCCGCGGACACGCGCTCCAGCGCCCGCGCCAAATGCGCCGCAGCTGCAGCCGCCTCGGAGGGGCGGGGCTCAGGCCCTCTGCGCAGGCGCCGTCCGGCACGGTCTGGGCGCGCTTCCGGGTGAGGCCGCGCCGGCTCCGCTCCGTCCCGCGGCGCCACCGATGCCCGTGCGCCGCGGAGCCCAGGTGAGTGCGCGTCCAGGTGAGCGGCCTCTGGCTCCGCGGCGCCGGGGACGAGGGCCGGGACTCAGAGTCCCGGAGCCCACCCTGTGAACCGCGCAGCGAGCGAGTACTGGGGGTCCGTGAACGGACGCGCGCGGCCCAGTTCGGCGACCTAATTGACCAGCAGCAAAGTCGAGGTGGTCAGGGAGGGAACGCCCGACCTTGAGCCCCATTTTCCGATGGAAGCCTGGCTCGGATGCGCCTTCTCGGCAGTCGGCCGGCCCAAGGACCGGGACTGGCCCGAGGGACGCCTGCTGGCCCCTCACTCGTGTCCGTCCGGAGCGGACCAGCGCTCTGTAAATCTGAAGGCTGCGCCACACCCCCCGGACCTCTCACACCCAGCCTGGCACACAGGCACCCCAGAGCCACAGCGGACCACCAGTAGAACCTCATCTGCCTCTCAGTTCCTGGTCATAAGACAGTTGGGGACCCCTAACGCCCAGGGTTGGTGCACGCCCAGAGTTGGTGCCAGGCTTGAGGTCAGCTTGGTGCTTTCCCACCTGGTATCAGGCCTTTTGGGCCGAGAATAGGGGTCCAGCACAGATAAAAAGCTCAGCTGACTGGACCTGAGCGATAGTACAGCGGATAGGACGTTTGTCTTGCACGTGGTGGACCCGGGCTCAATCACTGGCATCCCATGTGATTCCAGAGCACCACATGGAGTAATTCCTGAGCGTAGAACCAGGAGTAACCCCTGTAAATTGCCGGGTGTGACCCAAAACGCCAAAAAATAAAAACAAAAAGTCCTGCTGATTGTCAACCTGGTGCTGGTGGAAGGTGTAGATGCAGGAACATCCCAAGCAGGCCCCCAGCACCTAGAGCACTTTTCTTGCTTGTGTACAGCTTGGTCCTTGGTACCACACAAAAAGCTCAGAAGTTCATTTGGGAGCTAGAGGGTATGAGTCCCATTGTCCCTGCTCGGTGCCCACCGTCCTCCAGACCCAACAGTCTCTGCTCCCATGCTGTGCAGTTCCTCAGGCATCTGTCCTCAGGTGCAGGCAACTTCCAGGTTCATGCCGCCTGGAATGTCAGCCAGCCTTCTGTCTGCACCTGGTAGCAAGCATCATGTGCTAGCTCCCATTTGTAGACTGGAAAACCAAGGCAGGCAGTCACACGTCCATAGTACCCTGATCCTTGAGCTTCCTACTCTGGATTCATCATACAATCATTTGTCTTCTATTCACACATTTTATTTTGTTCTGTCACATCAGTCTTCCTGCAAAATGGGGCTGAAAAAGCAGCGACTCTTGGAGGCAGAGCAGCCTCAGAACCTGCAGGATGGAGCCTGGATACCTGCCCCTAAGGAGCCCTGCTTGAGGCCACCTGAGACCTCAGGCCTCCAGCGCAGCATCTACTTCTCAAGCCCAAAGAACCCCCCTCATCGACTGGGAAATGAGTTTTTTGACCAGCCTGCAGTGTCCCTGGCCCGTGCACTTCTGGGAAAGGTAAAGTTAATGCACTGATGTGGATTTGTTAGCATATGGTCACCGGTGCAGCATCTTACCACTGGGCACTTGTCCCTGATGTGGCCCGTACTTGTTTGTGCCTAGCTGGAACAGGGGGTGAGCCTGGTGTCCCCTGGGAAGAACTTGGATGTTGTTACCATCGCTTGCTTGCTCTAAGTACCAAGGCCAGGTGCATCTTCATCTGCTTCCACCCGAGACCCTGAAACACCTCCCCTTCTATCTGGAATACTCTCCCAACTATTGTCAGTACTGGCCCCTGAGTCTGTAAGGACTGCTCAAACTGGGGAGGGCCTTATCAGCTCTTCTGGACAGGATCTGGAGTGGGGAGTGAGGACCACCCAGAGCCCATGATAGCCGTCTGTCACCATGCAGAGTGGATGCATTGGCACCTGGCAGCTGCCTAGGTATGTGACCTCCTATCTGGAGCCATACACTGGACGTGAAATTCAGGCTTGCTTTCTGTTCCCCCCAGATCACCTCATATTCCCCAAAGTTCCTGGAGGGGGGAGCAGGGGACACACACAGACTGAAGTGATCTGATCTGGAGGGGCAGTAGTAGCATGAGGTGCAATTGAGGGTGCTGTTTGTTCACTTAAAGAAGGTAGAGTTTTAGGTGGGCCCTGGGTGATTTTTTTTTCTCTGAAAAAGAGGAGTAGACCAGATAAGTGTGGGAACCTCTGCTCTAGAACATCCATAGTACCCTGTGTCCTAAAAGAAGTCAGCCTTGGGGGACCAGGGTGATAGTACAACAGGCAGGCCATTTGCCTTGCATGCAGCCGACTCGAGTTCTATCCCCAGCATCCTATATGATCCCCAAGCACCACCAAGTATGATTCCTGAGTGCAGAGCCAGGAGTATCCACTGAGCATCACCAGATATAACTCAAAAAAAAAGCAAAAATTATAAAATATAGGGGCTGGAAAGATAGTACAATAGGAAGGGTGTTTGCCTTGCATGCAGCCAACCCGGGTTCTATCCACAGCATTCCATATGGTCTCCAGAGTATCTCTGGGTGTGACCCAAAAAGAAAAAAATAAATGCAAAAGATAAAAGAGTCAGCCTTTAGGTGGCAGTGGCCACAGCTTGTCAGTGTCTGTGACTGTTAGAACAGCTAGTGCCAGGAATAGGTTACCAGGTGACGGGGGCCGTGGACAGGAACTGCCCTGGACAAGGAGGAGGATGCTTTCAACTGCAAGTGACACAGAGACCTAGGGAGCCGAACATTAGGGCCCCGTTGTGGCCCGGGCACCCCTTGGGATGGGCAAGCCTGTATCCATTAGGGGACTGTTTCCCTGTGTCCTGCTATACCCAGAGACAAGCCTTTCTTCTAACCTCTACTAACCCTTGTCAACCTTGGCCCATGCACTAACCCCTGGGCAGCCTACCACCACGAGCAGTGTATTGCCATGACAACTCAGACCACCCTCCTTAGAAACCCTTTTTATTGAGGAATGTGTCTCCCCCATGACCATGCACCAGCAAGAAGATGCCTTGTTGGGCATCTTGCCCAAAGATGCTGGCCTAGCCAATATATGGATGCATTCCGGGATTTCTCAGATCCCAGCCTACCCCTTTCTCTCCTTTGCCCTTTCTCCAGAGTGTTGGCCTCCAGTCTGTGTCCACATCTCAGCTCCCCTCCAACCCTGGGACACTAACACTGACCCAGAAAGCCACAAACAGTAGGCTTCCTAGGCTGAGGCTGCTCTGGCCTTGCCATCCAGCTGATTGACCTAAGGACCGGCTGGTGTTGGGAAGGTGGCTTGCCCCCCAAGCACCACTGTGAACCCTGGCGAATCAGATCTGAGGCTGCAGACTCTGACAGTGACTACTGGCTCCTTCCCAGGATGACACCGTCACATGGCCAAGATGTAGTCACTGCTGCTGGACTGAGAATATTTCTTGGCACTCCAGAGCACCTCCCTGGCTCCCTGTGAACGGGGCTGCTCTCCCTGGCGCTCTGCTGGCCCTGAGCACCTGCCCCTCCAGAGTGCCCAGTAATTGCACCTACTCTGACCCAGCTGCCACGTACTGCCCCACCTCTGCAGCTGGCTGCAACCAGGGTCATGCTCTAGCCAGAGTGCTACACACAAGAAAACTATTAAAAAGGCGTTTTAAGACTAGGTGGGGATGAGCATGGCCCTTGTGGTTAGCCCAGGTATATGGGCACCATAGGCTCTCGAGTATCTTGTTGAAGCCCATGTCTTCCAGGCTGCCCTGCCTAGGCTCAGCCAAGGAGACTTAAGAGTGGAAGATGAATGTGGCATGGTGTGAATTTGTTCCTGCTGTTTCCAGACTTGCCCCTAGAGCTTGAAATAGCTGTTCCCTGTGGGTAAGACAATTGGTGAGCAGACCTGTGAGGGGGTTCTGGTCAGGAGATGAGGTCCAGGCAGTGGACTCCTGTTCCTGGCCTGAGGGTGACTATAGGTCTTTTGTGTATGTGGAAGTGGAGGTAAAGGGGTTGGGATCACACTCAGCGGTGCTCAGGGACCATATGGGGTGCTGAGGATTAAACCTGAGTTATGTGCATGCAAGACTACCAACTTAGGCTGCCCTCTGAGGACTGAACCTGGGTCGTGCGCATATAAGGCCAGAGCTTTATGCCATCCTCTCTCTGGCCTTGCCTACAGGTCTTAGTCCGGCGACTCAGTGATGGCACAGAGCTCCGCGGCCGCATTGTGGAGACTGAGGCATACTTGGGGCCAGAGGATGAAGCTGCCCACTCGAGGGGTGGCCGCCAGACCCCCCGCAACCGTGGCATGTTCATGAAGCCAGGCACTCTCTATGTGTACATCATCTATGGCATGTACTTCTGCATGAATATCTCTAGTCAGGGTGAGCAGTGCTGGGGCCTGGGGTTGGGGGAACAAGAGGCCTGGACAAAGCTGGCCGTATGGCTGAGTGGATGGGAGTGGGACGGTTACTTGAGCAAGGAGTTGCTGCTGCTTCAGTGGTTAGGGTATCAGGAGTTGGGACTGCTCTGACAGGGTAGCAAGAGGATCCCCAAGAGGTTATGGGTCGACCTGACAAATCAAATGGGAATAGTGGGGCCTGCTTCAAGCTGTCCCAGTGGCTCAGAGTAACACAGAGGAGTTGGTTGTGGGGAAATGATGAGATAGGTGTGTACTAAGCTAAGTTTTGGCAGGAAGATTTGCCAGGCAGCCAGTTACAGGGTCTGGATCAGTTATCATCAGCTGGAAAAGGTTCTGCCACCCTGGGGGACAGTCAGTAGTGCCTGAAGACATTAGCACTGCTCTGGGACAGCCTGTATCTTGTGAGCCACTGGCCATTTTCTGTGTGTCTGTGTGTCTTAGGAAGGAACAGCCCGTAGCACCATTACTATTGCAGGGTCTGCCAGGTCTCCTTTGGCTAGCTAGTACTGGTATCTTACTGGCCCGTCTCTACAGTCCTTCCTCAAAGCAAGCAGATGCTTTGGAGAGGCCAGTAAGGGGACAGGGTTGGGAAGGCTGCACACTGTACACATTCTGGAAATGAATCCAGTGATGTGGGAATTGCCTGCCAACAGTGTATAGCTGGAGCTTTCCATTGCCAGTGCTGTGGTGCTCAAGGACACAGAGTACCCATTACTGGTGGTGTCTGGCGCAGAGCAGGTATTGAGTGAAGTATTGGTCAGGATGAGGCTCAAAAACCCAGTCATCACCCTTAAGAGCTCTTTTTGGTCACTGAATTCTTTCTTTGGCAAATGAAACCCACTCAAATGATGTGGGGGTGTTGCTGGCATACAGAACTCACAAAGGGTAGGTGGGTTAGAATGCCAGGGCTGAGCATTTGGTTCAGGCAGAGCAGGAGCAGTGAAGATATAGAGATGGACAGGAAGAGGGTACCATACTTGTTTCCAGAAGGTGAGGGCAGGGGGAAACCAAGCGATAGTAGATCAGGTAGGGTACTTGGTCTGCAGGTAGGGTACATGGCTGGCCCAGGTTCGATCCCTGACACCCTCTGTGATTCCTGAGCACCATTAGGTATGGCCCCAAAACAAAAAACCAAAAAATGAAACAGAAGTGGGGGAAGAGAGATCGTACAGCAGGGAAGGTACTTGCCTTGTATATGGTCAGCCGGGGTTCGATCCCCAGGGCCCTATATGGCTTCCCAAGCCTGCCTCCCCCCCCCCCCCCCCCCCCCCCCCCCCGCCGCAGGAGTGATTACTGAGTGCAGAGCCAGGAGTAAGCCCTAAGCACAGCCAGGTGTGGCTCAAAAACAAGAGGGTGGTGATTGGAGCGGGGGCATGTCTATCTGCAGGCCTCACTGGAGGCAGAGACAAAGAGATGTGTTGCACTTAGAACTCAGGGTAGTATGGAGGAGGTCAAGTGTCAGTATAGGAATGAACTTCAAGGCTCTGCTCTCTCTTCAGTATCTGGTTCATTAGGAAATCGGTTAGTTAAGGAACATACCCTCCTAGCGCCTGCCAGCTGCCAGACTACCAGGACAGTGAGGTTGCTGTATCCACTTGGCTAGCTCCTGGGTGCTCATCAGGAGGCCAGAACTGGGAAGAGGCCCAAGAATGGGGCCTCCCCTCTTGTGCTCAACCTCCTAAACATGAGTGATGGCATGAGCCAAGGGAATCAGAGCAGAGCAGCCTTGCTGGGGGCCAGCACTTCTCTGGCCAAGATCCAGTACACTCTGTCCGGAGCCAGAGTTCTGAGCCCGCCTAGATAGGCACAGCTGAGGGAACTGGGGGCAGGTGCATCTTCTTTGCTGCAGGGGAGGTTTGGGTGGGGGAAGGAGGGGCCGGGGAGCTTCATCTGCTGGTGCTTGGGGTACTCGAACTCAGGTCAGCCACATGCAAGGCAAGCACCCTATCCACTGTACTATCTGTCTAGACACAGATGCATCTGCATCTTCTTGAGCAAGCCCCTGGGCCTGGGGGTCAGCCTGCCATCTATGGCTACAGAAGCAGTGCGAACCATGGGGGAGGCCAGGATGGACTAGGGGCTCTGCTGGCACCTCCTCTGCAAACATTCGTGGCTTCACTGGGCAACCGGGTGCTATCCGGCCAACACGAATACTGAGAGGGCTGGATGGCGCACCCTGGGACCTGGTAGGAGTGGTCTAGGTTGCTTCATGTGGGGTGACCTTGCCCAAACCAGAGGTAGCCAGGGAGGCCAAGCCCTCAGGATCCAGTGATGGGGAAAGAGTGCAGATGTGTGAGGAGCTGCTCCGTCCTGCTCTTGGGAGGTAGTTGCCACCCCACAGTGCTGCTTGTGCCCTGCGGGAAGAAAAAGGAAAGGCAGAACATCCAGGCTTCCCTTGTGTTTCACAGGGGATGGGGCATGTGTCCTGCTGAGAGCACTGGAACCCCTGGAGGGCCAGGAGACCATGCGGAAGCTTCGCATCACCCATCGGAAGAGCACTGCCAGCCGGGCCCTCAAAGACCGTGAGCTCTGCAGTGGACCTTCCAAGTTGTGCCAGGCCCTGGCTATTGATAAGAGCTTCGATCAGCAAGATCTTGCCAAGGATGAGGCTGTGTGGCTGGAGCACAGCCCCCCAGCATTCGGTGAACCAGCAGCTGTGGTGGCGGCAGCTCGAGTGGGTATTGGTTATGCAGGAGAGTGGACCCAGAAACCACTACGTTTTTATGTCAGGGGCAGTCCTTGGGTCAGTGTGGTAGACAGAGCAGCAGAGCAAGAGACAAAGGCCTGATCCAGGAGCTACTCAGATTTTGGGCGGGGGGGGGGGGGTCACACTCAGCAATGGGCAAGCCTTATTTCTGGCTCTGTGCTCAGGAATTACTCCTGGTGGTGATCAAGGGAACATATGGGATGCCAGGGATTGAACCCAGGTCCTCCGCATGCAAGGCAAATGCTCTACCTTCTGTACTACCTCTATGGCCCCTAAGATGGACTTCTTAACTGTTTCGTGCTAAATAAAGGCTTTAATTGTAGAAGGCTGCAGGCTCTTCCAACCCTCCTTGCCACGTTTAGCATCTATCTGGATGGGATCTGTGCTCTCTCTCTGTCTCTCTCTCCCTTTTGGACAGGATGTCAGGGGCTCCGTGTTTGTAGCACAGCATCTAGAGCCAGAGGCAGCAGATACTCCCTTCCTCAGACCCAGCAGTCCCTACATGAAGGAGGAACAGGAGACTGGAACAGACACACCCACAAGGGAGCAGAGGAAGCATTTCAGGCACCAGAAGGCAGGAAAGGTCAGCCAGGCTCTCATGCCTCCCGAGACAGAGGTTCTAACAGCTGGCCAGAAGCCTCCTGGGTGGTAACAGGATGGTGGTAAGGACTGTATCAAGAAAGAAATGGGGCACACTTACAGAGCAAAGTGGCACTGTGCAGGACCTCACACTTTTGGGGGTGGGTAGGGTAATGGGGCATGGCCACACCCACAGTGCTCAAGGCTTCCACACTCAGGGGTCACACCTGGCAGGGATTAGGACCATATGCAGTGCCAGGGATCCAACCTGGGTCAGATGCGTGCAAAGCCTGCATTTTACCTATTGTAGTCTAGCTCTCTATCTTAAGATTTCACTCCTGAGGCCCAGGCCGGAGGAATGGGAAGGGAGGGGGTGTGGTGCTGAAACTTGCAGCCCTTCAATGTGAGGAAAGCAGATAGGTCTCACAAGTCCTTTTCTGGTTCCGAGCCTCACCTTCTCACTCTAGATACTGGGTCCACTCTGAGGCTAGATGAGCAAGAACACAACCCACAACTCGTGGTCAAGCCTCAGGCTGGCAGTCATGCCAGGAGGAGGGGCTGAGGCTCACTGCAGGAGTCTGCAGGCTCAAGTCAGCAACGCCTGGAAGACAGCGATGACGGGGTCCTCGTGGGTAGTCACAACCAACACGCTTCGGAACTTGTCAAAGAGCGTGAGCAGTTGGGAGCGCCGCGTGTTCTCATTGTACATGATCTCCTCCAGGTGATGGCGGCCCCGGAAGTAGTGCAGGAGCCTGAGTGGGAAGGTGCTTGAGCTCAGCCTGTCCTCTGTCCCAACAGCCAGTGTGCAGTCCGCGCACTGACCAAACTGCTTAGGAATTCCCACCTGTGCCCTCCCCCAACAATAGACCAGTGAGCACCAGAAGTCCATCAGCCCTGTGGTCTCCTGAAGTGGTTCCCAGTCTGATGTGGCTGTAGAATCCCTGTAGCTGCCAGAACCCAAAAGCTACACCCACTCTTGAGAGTTCTGATGAGTGGCCCCAGCAAGTCCCATGTGGTTCCAGTTCACATAAGGTCAGTGCTCTCTAGTGGGGGTCTACAGCCAGCCCAGGTGTTAAAGCCACAGACTGCACTCCTCATGCAGGACACATGGGGGCGCACCCAAGTCTGAGACAAGACCTGACCAGGCCTGCTTGATTGTCATCAGTGGGGTCCTCATTCTGCCCTGACTGGAGTCAGCCCTCACAGGGATTACCTGGCAAACATGCGGAGGTCCTCAGGGTTCTGAGCTGCAGGTACGCTGAGGATGGCTGCCCGTTCGTGCTCCGACAGGCTGGCAAGCAGGGTTTCTGTCATCCTCTTGTTGAGTGGAGAGTCTCCGCTGGGGAGCAGCTCTGCACTGGAGTTGTCCATGCTGGGGCTGGTGAGTGTCATGTCATCACTGCTAGCTGCAGTCAAATAGGGCAGGGGCCAGCTGTTGACCTACCATCCACACCTCTGCAATTTGCAGCCACATCCTCTCAAGTGTCCTCCCACCCTGCATGGACCAGGAGCTCTGGGCAGGCAGGGTCCTTTCACTGAGCCGAAAGACTAAAACCAGGCAGCTGAGGTGGGGACTGGCCATAAGGATCCTCCCCATAAGGACTTGGCAGTGGGCTACTGCTGTGGTGACACTGGCACACAGCAGCTCTTTCAGAATGGAACTGTACTGAAGACATTGTTAGATTGGCCTGAGACCAGGATGATGGTGTGGCAGGCAGTGGGGCAGGCTGCTCCTGACTAGGCAAACTCAAGATCACAGGACAAGGTGGGGGGTTATGGGCTCAGGTCTCTATACAAGGGCTGGGTGGGGACGTCGTGTGAAATTACCTCAGTCATATTGCTGGGGCAATATTCCTGTTGGACCTCCTGACCACACTCCATGTGTCCCCCAGGCATTCTCCCCTTCCTCCCACCAGAGGTACCCCAAGCAGAAGGGGAATCCTACTTGGGGAGCCAAAGCTGAGGGCATTGGGGGTGCTGAGGCTGCGGCCACCGACTCTGGCAGTGAATGGGACGTCATCTTCTCGAGGGCGGGGCTCATCCTCACTGGGCGAGGCCATCAGGCACACGTAGGTGTGCAGCTGGACAAGGAGCCTGTGCTGCAGCATCCACACCACCATCTGGATGAGCTGGGTCTGTGGGACAGGGTCAGAAAGACCTGGGAGGTAGAGGAGGCAGGTCCCCCCTGGCCCTACCCCGTTCCTTTCTTGGAAGGATGGTGAAGCCATGGCTTGCTAGTGACCCCCTCTAGTCAGCCTGGAGAATGAGGGGGTCCAGGAGTGCTAGGGGTCCCACCCGCAGGTAGGGAGAACCCCAGCTAACTGCCGCTGCAACCTCCACTTGACTCTGGGAAGGCAGAAGGACCACACCTGTATTTGTGCCCATCACATAACCTAAATGTCCAGAGCTGACGGGCAGGATGTGTGAAGTGGTACCCCTGTGCCCTCCCTCTCCTGTCTCATCTCCTCCACATCACTGACACCTGGGCAAGGCACCATGGGTACCCTGAGCTGATTCTTCCCTCCTATAGCCTGGGGCAGGGGAAGCTGACTTGAAGAGAGGGTCCTCCCTTCAGGTCGGCGCTAAAGACTCACCAAGAGAGGGGCCCTGGAGCACACCCCTGCCAGATAGGGGGTCATGTCCAGGAGCAGTGAGGAGCCCCAGCACTGGTGAATAAGAAGGTGCTCCCAGACAGCCCTTGTTCGCAGGCATGCACACTGTCCTGCTCCTGGGAGGGTCTGACTAAGTGGCATGGAAATGGGCTGTGTCATGAGAGAGTATGATCTAGTAAAACTGGAAAAAACTGTAATAAGTTGTATAAGAAAGAAAACAAAGTCTCTGAGGGCTGGAGAGCACACTCTGGGCCTGAGGCAGGGTCAGGAAACCTCGCCCTGTGACTGCATCTGAGTCCTGGGTGGGCAGGAGGTGGTCTCTCAGGAGTGGTCTGGAAAAATCAACCCCCCCTCAGGGAAGTGTCTGCTGGGAAGGACTAGAAGGGTATACATGCAAAGTTTTATTCAGTTGGTACAACTGGGCACAGTTCCCGGGAAGCAAAAGGCTCCATGAAAGACGGCATTTAGAACTCTTGTCATGCTGGGAATGTAAATGAGTTGAAATACCAGATATCCTTCTCATTCACAGCTGGAGAAGGAAAAGGGTTTGCTTTTATTTATTTTTTTGCTTTTTGGGTCACACCTGGCCGTGCACAGGGGTTACTCCTGGCTCTGCACTCAGGAATTACCCCTGGCGGTGCTCAGGGGACCACATGGGATGCTGGGAATCGAACCCGGGTCGGCCGCGTGCAAGGCAAACGCCCTACCCGATCTGCTATCACTCCAGCCCCAAGGGTTTGCTTTTAAAGCCTGGTTCTGCCTAGCAGATCTGGCTCTTATTTGAACAAATACTTTTCATCTGAAGATGAAGTCCCATCTCAGACACCTGTCCCATCTGCCTCTGCCCAGTACTCCAAATCTCTAGGTGCTCTGTGGAGGGGAGGTCAAACCCTCATCCCCAGCTCAAGGCCATTCCATACATCTCACACATTCTTGAGGCACCCCCTCAAGCTCCCACTGACCACACCCAGCACCCCATCTGCCCCTTGCTCTGACCCAAGCAACTGGGTAGACAGTGACTCAAGGCTGACCTCTCTAGGTTCTCTTGGATGGATGGAGAAGATTCCGGAAGCCAATAAGCCCAGGACTTATGCCCCCGGACCTTGTGGCTGGGCAGGGGGCTAGGAATGGGAGGGCCCCTTCTGTATTTTCCATTGTCTACCCTCCAGACAAAGAGAGGGTTATCAGGCAGTTCCACTTTCCCAGGTAAGGTCAGTTGGGCCTTTTAACTCAGTTCTAACCCTGAGTATTGCCTACCACAACCAGATATCCTCAAGGATATCCCGATATTGACCAAGGGTTTATAGGAAACCAGCTTTTGAGACACTGCAGTAAGGTGTGAATCTTCTGCACAGTATGCTTCTCAAAACTAGGAAAGTTGAGGCTGAGGGTACTGGGAGCACTGAGAGTCCTTGGCTCAGGGGCTGATGCTGGATAGGTGATTTCTGGTTTTCCCAAGCTCCTGAGACTTACCTCCTGCACAGGGGGTGCCAGAGGATTCCGAAATTCTGACAAGGACACAGGCAGAGAGAACTTAGCAAGAACAGATGGCAGGTCATGCGATGGGAACTGACGGGAGAACTGCTCGGCCAATGGGGAGTACCTGGGGACAGGTAAGGCAAATGTGCATGAGCTCAACAGACCTCAGTCTTGCTTCATGGCACCTGTATCTGAGCCCAAGACTGTGCTAGGCAGAGGAAGGTGCCACATGGAGAATGAGCCGGGATGGCAAAATGAGGACAGAGCCCAGGTGCTTTCCTTTAAGGAGTACAGATCACCCCGGCGCCCCTGTGAGCCCTGGTCAGGGTTTTCCGTTTTCCCACCCTCCTGACAGGTAAACTGTACAGTCTACTAGCCAGCAGACGTGGCAGGTACAGACACTTCATGGAGTCAAGAACACAGACCTGCACAGGGCCACATGGCACCAAGCCAAGCCACACTGCAACCCGAGCACACAGGGGTCAGGCACTGGGTTCAAGTGAGGGCATAGTTGACATGGGAGCATGCGCTGGCCCCCTTCCCAATAGGGGCCCTGGGTACTTACAGACAAACACTGGCATTGGGAGAAAGCATGTAGACATTGTTCTCACACAGTGGGTAGATGATAATGGCTTTGCCCCAGTACACCAAGTGAGCAGCAAGCTGGAAAACCTGTGGAAGAGCCAGGAGGACGTTGCCTGTGCAGCTGACCCAGGGGAGCGTCAGTCCTGACTCTAACCTCCCACCAGTGTGCTGGGCACAGCTCCCTCATGGCACTTTCTGTGCTCACAAAAAAGAAAAGGGGGGGGGGGGGTTCATTTGTGGATTTTTTTATACTTAAAATTAAGAACGTAGTATTTTTACCAGTTACTCATTTCTTGTACTAAATCAAAATCAACATTTTCATCAAACACTTTTAAGGTAAAGGTAAAAGGTAAAGGCCCTCCCGTTGATCGTCGATTTGCTCGAGCAGGCCCAGTAACGTCTCCATTGGAGACTTTGTTGTTACTGTGTTTGGCATATCGAATACTCTCGGTAGCTTGCCGGGCTCTCCGAAACACGTTTAAAATTTCCAATTTTAGACCTTGCAGTAAAATTGGTGATGATAATAAAATTGAAAAAACAAGTGACTAAAGTTCATGTTTGTTAGGTATTTCCCAAATACAAATTAATTTTAATTGTTTAAATAAAAACTAATTTTATTAATTAAAAACAAATAAAATTTACTCATATACTGAAAACATGGGTTCTAGTATATTATACAAGACGGTGTGTACATTTTGTACTCAAAGACTACACATACCACTGCTAACAAATGATTGCCTAGGCTAAGTATTGGTGACCCTGCTTTAAAGAACATAAGGTTACTTTTAAATTAACACACTGTGAACATATAAAGTATGTGAAAACAAAAGAAAAATATGGAATGCTTCACGAATTTGCGTGTGTCATCCTTGTGCAGGGGCCATACTAATCTTCTCTATCGTTCCAATTTTAGTGTATGTACAGCCTGAGCGAGCACTGGATTTATTTTTTGGGTCACACCCAGCTAAGGGCTTACTCCTGGCTCTGCAGTCAGGGATCACTCCTGGCAGTGCCCATATGCAGTGTCCAGGACCAAAATGGGTCAGCTGTGTGCAAGGGAAGTACCCTGTGTTACATACTCTCCATATCTCTCCGGCCTCTTTTTCCACTTATTTTTGTTCCATACCTAGTGGTGCTCAGGGGTTGCTCCAGGCAGTACTCAGGACACCACTTGGTGTTGGGGATCAAACCTAGGTCTCACTCACAAAGCATGCACTCAGCCTATTGAACTTTCTAGACCCCCGAAAGGATTTTACCACTGTTTCATATCTGGTTTGACACTGTTCTACACACTGTCCTACACACAGGGAGCTGGGGTCCCCAGGGAATGCAGCCCATTAATCCTAGCTCAACATCCTGGCAAATGATGCCCCCCAACACCCACCAGGACCCCAGCAAGGGAATGGATTATTGATCCTGATTCACCCTTCACACTGGTCCCAGTGTTCCCCAGCATCCCTGGAGAGTATCTCACACCCTATCCTCCTGGACCCTCAGATACCTTGACAGGTCAGACAGACAGACAAAAACACAATTCCCTTTCAGCATCACACAGGGAGGATAAGAGGGCACTGCAGGAATTCATGGACAGGCACCAGGCACTTGTCTTACTGCACCCAAGACTCCTCTTCACCAGCACCAACATGGGTGGTCACCGTCTACCTGAACGAGAGTCCCTGTTACACTGATCACTAATGTGGGTGCCTCTACCTCATCCTGGCCACAGAACTCCTCGTGGCAATGCCGACTCCAACAGGGAGAACCTCAGCTCCCCTGCAGACTTTCTCTTGTCTCAGTTTCCCTTAACCTTTGCTCTAAAGCAAAAACACACACTTTATTTTCCTATACCGCTGCCATCCATATACCCTGCCCAGCACAATCTACCTGCCAGCTCTTCAAAACAGCCAGAACATCACCCTGGATGCCAGAAATCTGAACTGGCTCTATAGTGTGGTATCCCCCAGAAATTAGGGGAAAACTTGTTCTTTCCATTTGTCAGTTGCAGTGGGTCCTACTGTGGGTCATGTGGTTCCGATCCCATCCTCCCTTACAGGGACCTATTCACAGCACTGGGCTCACAAAGGTAATTCAGGACACCTGCCACATGTTAGTCTCACAGGATCTGAGATTAGGATGTGGAGGCATCATCCAGCTAATCACCAGAACTACTGTGCATACTAATTTTGTGACTCAAAGATATGTTCTAATAGATAGGAAAAGCAGCTGGAAGAATCTATAGTGGTTGATTCCTCTGGGATATGGGATTATGAGAGTTTTTTTGGGTTTTTTTTTGGGGGGGATGAGGGGGCCACCAAACTTTTTGGGAGTTTGAGAGACTACAGAGGATGTCAGGAATTGAACCCAGATTAACTGCTTGCAAGGCAAGAACCTGCTGCCCCCTTGTGGCCAAGTGGTATTCACCAATACCAGATTCTGAGTACAACTCAGGCTGTTACTCAGAACAGTACCTCTGCCCTGGGCTTCCAACCTCTCCTCAGTTGGGCCAGAAAGCTGTATGTGGGTAAGACACTCGCATGCACCCAGCTCAGGTTCGATCCCCAGTACAGCATGTTCAAATCACTGGCAGCGCATATGGTAATCCTCTCACCCCCCCACTAAGCACTGCCAGGAGTGAGCCCTGAGTCCAGCCACGTATGGCCCCAAAACAAAACTCAGAACAACTTCTCCCCAACACATGCTTTGTATACAGGAGGCCCACGTTCAATTATCAGCACCACAAGGAGCAGCTCCTAAAGAGAGGCCAGAATTAAGCCTCTTGAGTACCACCAACTGGGGCCCCCGCCAAAAACCCCCCTCTCTGTGCTCCTGTCAGATGTGTGGCCAGGGCTAACGGGCCCTTCAATTAGCAAGGGCATTCCGAAAGCAAGTGTCACACGAAGAAGGTGAAGAAAGGCCAACAGTCTCACACAGCATGATGGGTCCTGGTTCTACACATGGATGACCTGTACTGAGCTTCCTGCCCTCCTGGTCCTCACCAGCAGTGGAGGGAGAGTACTGCTTTGTCCAGTGCTTCTGCTTCGACCCTGAACACCCTCCCCCAGCCCTGGTTTTCTGTCCTCTGAGTCCAGCTATCCACAAATGGGATTCTATCCTGATCACAGAGAAGAAAGTCAGGCTCGTGATGAGTTCTCAAGGCAAACCTGAACTGATGTCAGATTCAGATTTCAGAACTTCAAGTCAACCTAGCGTCACCAATGCCACCGTGGCTGGCCATGCACAGGTCCTTAGGACACACTAACAAGCAGCCAGCTCTCCTGACCTCCCGGCATCTCCCACCCTTGTCCAAGGCCACCTGTTGTGTTGCCCCAGCTTCTCCCTCCCGCCCCTCCTTCCCCGCAGCCATCTCCCAGGGTGATACCTGCAGTAAGGCCAGGTCTGCATCTTGGGCCAGTTGCTGCAGGTTCTTCACGGCAGATGTGGTCTTGATCACGCGCACCAGGGCTGGGGAACAGTCAAGTGGGAGCTCAGCCAAAAGGGACTTCTCATCACTGAGCAGCAACAAGGCATGGTATGGGCTGCGGAGAGAATCACAGACTGGTAAGAGATGTGAGACCTAGATCTCCTGCTCAGCTAACCACCTAGAACACAGGCACAGCCAGAGTCCACAAGCACTGAACCTCAAGAGGAGAAACTGCAGGAGGTACAGGACAGAAGAACAGATGTGTGTTCAACATTTAAAAGTCTCCAAGGATAGGAGCTGGGCCAATAGCACAGCAGGTAGAGTGTTTGCCTTTCACACGGCCAACCCAAGTTCGATTCCCCAGCACCCCATATGGTCCCCCGAGCACCGCCAGGAGTAATTCCTGAGTGCAGAGCCAGGAGTAACCCCTGTGCGACGCCCGGGTGTGACCCCAAAAAATAGAAAAAAATCAACTTTAGGGCTGGAGCGATAGTACAGTGGGTAGGGCAGCTGACCCAGGTTCGGTTCCCTAGCGTCCCATATGGTCTCCAAAGCATTACCAGGAGTAATTCCTGAGTGCAGAGCCAGAAGTAACCCCTGAGCATTACTGGGTGTCACCCCCCCCCCCCAAAAAAAAGCAAAAATATAATCTCCAAGGACTGGGACCAATCAGAGTGAATTTAGGTGATGCTCAGGGGACCATGCAGTGCTGAGGATGAATTTGGGGTTCCTATATGCAAAGCATAAGCTCTGGTTCTCTGCGTCATCTCCCTAGCCCCCAAATGTTTGTTTCTGTAAACAGCAGAGCCATGCCTAGCAATGGCTGTGGCAGGGAGAGAAAACAGAGTTTGGGGAACAAAGTCATTGGTAAAACACCAGGTGAAATCTAAAAGGAAGGGCAAGTGTGGAACTCACCGAATGGCTTTCAGGCTCCGCTCGATTGCCTCAGGGGGAATAAGGCTGGCAGCGGCATAGTGGATCTTGTGGGGTAGACAGAAGCTCACCTCCAGCCAACTGTTGATGTGTAGCTGTACCACGCCGGAAGTACACAGGCTGCAGAAAGCAGGTCTGTTCACTTCTGGTGCCCCATACACACAACAATTTCTAACTCACAGTCACATGACCCTACCTGAGAGGTGAGGGGAGGTCTTCCCAGCACTATTCCTTCTCATCAACATAAATTGAAAGTGCACCAGCGGGTAGGGCGTTTGCCTTGCACGCAACCGACCCAGGTTCAATTTCCAGCTTCCCATATGACACCCTGAGCACCGCAGGGGTAATTCCTGAGTGCAGAGCCAGGAGTGACTCCTAAGCATAGCCGGGTGTGACCCAAAAAAAGGGGGGGAAAAAAGTGTACACCTCTACACACACACACACACACACACACACACACACACACACAGAGTGGCCAACCAAAGTGCCGGGGATCTAGAGAAGCCTCTTCTGTATCCAGAAAACTCAGTGTAACAGGAATGTTCTTTAGGGGGAAAGGTGGAAAGGGGCATTCCTTGCACACCTGACAAAGGAAGAAGGGGTATGCAGGTCAGCTGAAAAAAGAAAGCATGAAAATCCATCTAGTGTCTCCATGTTAGCTCTGTCACGGCTGGAAGTTCACTATCCTCTTCTCTGAGAAGTCACACCACATTAATTCCCTGGGTTCTGCAGTTTTCACTCCACTTTTCCAAGCGCCTAGTCTCCCTCCAGCAACCTCCTCAGAACACTGTTCAACGGAGAATGGTGCCTTTGAACACTGAAACCCCATTCTGCTATCTGGAGATCCCCAGTGCCTGTACAATTCCCCCCAGCCCCACCCCCCGAGGACCAGCTGCAGACCCAGTGAATTCCTAAAACATCCTGGCACAAATGCTGGCCGACTTCGGCCATGAGTGTGGAAAGGTCGGATGCAGCTAAATCTCACGAAGACAATGTTTATGAGAAACAGACTCGTTCCTAATGTTCCATTTGCTCTCAATGAAACGAACATCTCCAAATGCAACAGCTATGTGTACCTAGGTCGAGAACAACATGACTAATGACCTGGCACCTGAGCTGCGCAGGAGGAAGAGAGTGGCTTGGAAGGCCTTCAAGAGCGTCGAAGAAATAGCTAAGAGGACAAAGAACCTCTGGCTCCGGGCACAGCTCTTCGATTCCACCATTCTTCCTGCATTAACATACGCCTTAGAGACCTGGGCCCTATGAAAACAGTGTGAGAACACTATTCGGGTCTCCCAAAGAAGAATCGAAAGAGCTATGCTTGGAGTATCACGCTTCACTTAAGTGAGAGAAGGAATCCGGAGTTCTGACCTCTATCGACAATCTAGAATCAGGGAGGCTGTCTCATTTGCCAAGGCGTCAAAAATCAGATGGGCTGGACACATAATGCGATTTGGAGATGACCGCTAGACTAGAGCCATTACTGACTGGATTCCACGGGACATAAAAAGATCGCATCAAGTGTGTGGAGGTGTGGGGGGAGGTCACTTGGGGGAGGGAGGAATTTTGTTTTGTTTTTACACCACCCCCAGCAGTGCTCTGGGTTTACTCCTGGCTCCATGCTCAGGAAACACTTCTGGAGGGCTTGGGGACCATATGGGGTACCAGGGATTGAACTTGGGTTGGCCTTGTGCAAGGCAAGCACCCTACCTGCTGTACTATCACTCTTGCCTATCCTGCTTTTAAAATGCATTTTTAAGACAAGGCTCTAGCAGAGCAGGGATTTTAGCTTGGAATATGGCTCAGTAGCCTGAAGTCCCTACCTGGCAAGCATGAGACCCCAGTGCTTCCATATGCACTGAGTCCCACTGTTTGGGATCCCTGATGAGGAGAAATCATTTTTTTAAATAAAAAATTCACTGTCACTGTCCTCCTGTTCATCTATTTGCTCGAGCGGGCTCAGTAACGTCTCCATTGTGACACTTGTTACTCTATTTGGCATACTGAATACGTCATGGGTAGTTTGCCAGGCTCTGCCGTGCAGGCGAGATTCTCTCGGCAGCTTGCCGGGCTCTCCGAGAGGGGCGGAGGAATTGAACTCGAGTCAGCCATGTTGGCTGCGTGCAAGGCCAACGCCCTACCCACTGTGCTATATAAAAAATAAAAATCTTTATTTAAAAGATTGCTAATTTTGTACTTTTATTTGCAGGGGAGTGAACTGTTTATTCTAGAAACACTAGAAAGAATAGACTGCCTCATGTAAGGTTTATCCAGTCCTGCACAAAACTCCTGGTCACAGAGAAGAGCTCAGCCCAGTCTGCAATTAATAGATAAGTGTCTCTGCTAAGCCCCAAGTCCTGAAGCGATGACTCCGCACAAGGAGTCTTTAAAATCCATTCTTATCTTGTGCAACCCAGATGGAAATGTTTATAAGCTAATCCACGGCCTTGGCAGCTGAGGAAAAATTTCCGTTCCTCGATTTGGCAAATACCTAAACCAATCTCTGGTCTCCCTCCAGTCACCTTTCTCCCTCTACACCTGCTGGCCCCACAGAGCCAGGCTTCCTGATGCACACAGTGGAAAGATGTGCATGGCCCAAGAAGTTGGTTTGGTCCCACAAGGCTCACCTGGAATCTCAAGCGCAGTTTTAAGCATAGGCACATTTTATAGAAATGGGGAATTAAAACCCCACCACGAGCTCTGTTAACTCATAACTATTCAATGAACATTTTCAGACCCCATGAAATCTGCATCGTTCCCTCTATTTCCTTATTATTTTGTCACTTGTGCATAAGCTAGACTTCTTCACATGCCAAGCACAGTGCTGGGATAGGCCCTATGTCAAGGAAGTCTCTGTCTTCATGAGAGAGACGACCTAAAAGTGACGTGGCTAGGAGGATTCTGCCACTGAGGTCACTGAGCAACACTGGAAAGCATGGGTCCCAGACACCAGAGAGGCACACTGCAAACACTATTCACAGGCACACATAGCTGCAAGGTGAATTTTGTTAAAATGGCAAATCTAGAAGGGCTGGAGCGACAGTACAGTGGGGAGGGTGTTTGCCTTGGACACAACTGACCCGATTTGATGCGGAGCATCCCATTATGGTCCCCCAAGCACCACTAGGATTAATTCCTGAGTGCAGACCCAAGAGATCCCCTTGAGCACTGCCAGGTGTGGCCTCAAACCCCCCCAAAATAGTAATAATAAAATAAAAACATAAAAATGACTCTTGTACATGGGCACACAGCAGTCAACAAAAGAGCTGACACTTCCCTTTCTCTCTTGCCCCAGTCTCAATGGTTCAAAAGGAGAGGAAGTATCCAGTGGAGGCAGTTCCCTCTAAGAGCCCTCAGACATTTCTTCATTTTCCAAGAAGGGAATGTAGAGTCTGTCACCCATTCATCATACCTGTCATAGGCTTCCTTAAGGTCCCTGGCCAGCTTGCATTTGGGCAGAATGTGATGGAATGGGGACTGAGGACCATCATTTGCTGCAAGAATTATGAGAGGAATTAGTTTCCAAGGCAAGAAACTTACATAAATTAGAACAGAAAATAACCTTAAAAAAGTTTAACTTAAAATGAATTTCAGTGACTGTGACTGTGGGGGTTTGGGACATATCCAGCAGTGTTTAGGGCCTACTCCTGGCTCTGGTTCAGGGGCCACTTCTGGAGGTACTCAGGGGACCACGTGTCGTGCCCAGAGATCAAACTCTGGTAAGTAACATACAAGATGAGCATCTCAACCCCTGTACTATCTCTTTGGTCCTCTTCTGCTTTGAATAAAATCTTTGCATTCAATTAAATTAAGATTAGGGGGGTCACAAAATGCCTTAGTGATCTATCCTAGCTCCTTAAACGTGGGTTGTGACCCCACAGAGGACTGTACAACTTTAAAAATAATGATTTTTAAATAAATTTATGAGGGCTGAAGCAATAGTACAGCAGGTAGGGACATGTGGCTTGCACACAGCTGACCTGGGTTCAATTCTTAGCATCCCATATGGTCCCCCAAGCACCGCCAGGAGTAATTCCTGAGGGCAAAGCCAGGAGTAACCCCTGAGCATCGCTGGGTGAGACCCAAAATAAAAGAAAATAAATTTATGGGGACCGGAATAATAATACAACAGGCAGGGTGTTTGCCTTGCATGCAGCCGACCTGGGTTTAATCCCCGGCATTCCATGTGGTCCCCTGAGCACCACCAGGAATGATTCCTGAGTGCAGAGTTGCCCCTGAGCATCACCAGGTGTAACCCAAAAAGCAAAAAAATAAAATAAATAAAATTTATGAGTTACGGTGTCAGAGCAATAGTGCTGAAGACAGAATGCTTGCCTTGCATGTGGCCAACCCAGGTTCAATCCCTGGGACTCCATATGATCCCCCCAGCCCACTAGGAGTGATCTTCGATTGCAGAACCAGGAGCAAGCCCTGAGCAGTTGTGTGGTCCAAACAAACAAACAACAACAACAAAAATTAAAATAAGAGGGCCAGAGTGATAGTACAGTGGATAGGGCATTTGCTTTGCACATGGCTGACCTAGTGAACCTCGGGTGCCCAAATGGTCCCCAAAGGACCACCAGGAGTGATACTGAGTGCAGACCCAAGAGTAAGCTCTGAACATAGACAGGTATGTCCCCAAAATAATAAATGTATGGGCGCATATGCTGCGCAGGCCCATGTGCTGCTTGTGCCCACATAACCAAGCACATGTGTCGCCCACATCTCCCCTCTTGAGATGTGTACTTTCATGCTTTCATATCTAATGCTGGGATGTGTGTACATACTTTAGCCCATATTTATTCTCTCTCTCCTCTCCCTTCTCTTTTCCTCTCCTCTCCCCTCCCCTCTTTTCTCTCTCTCCCCCCTCTCTCCTCCCTCTCTCCTTCCTTCCCCTTCCTAAAACCCTCCAAATAAAATTTGTTTTACTTCCAAAAACAGTATATTTATTATCATTAAATATTAGATTTTTAAAAAATATATCAATATACCCAGAGTCACATAAAAATTTCTCCAGTGAGGAGCTGAAGTGATAACACAGCAGGTAGGGCGTTTGCCTTGCACCTGGCTGACCCGGGTTTGATTCCCAGCATCCCATATGGTTCCCTGAGCACTGCCAGGAGTAATTCCTGAGTGCAGAGCCAGGAGTAACCCCTGTGCAAGGCTGGGTGTGACCAAAAAAGAAAAAAAAAATTTTTCTAGTGAAAAGGTATTCCAAGAAGGAAAAGTTTAAGAAGTAACCATTTGGGGCTAGAGTGGTAGGATGTGATAGGGTATGTTCTTTGCATGCGGCTGCCCTGGGTTCACCCCATGTGCAGAGCCAGGAGTAAGCCCTGAGTACCACCAGGTGTCGCCCAAAAATCAAAGAGAAAAAAAAGAGGCAACCATTTTAAAGTACCTGCCCAGCCAGCCTGGGTGAAGCCATAAACTCATAGCCTAGTCTATTTGTATGTTCTGAGGCAATGCTGAAGACCTCACTGTTCAGTATCCCCAGAAAGGTAGGTAAAGAGGAGTGATGGAATCCACCAAGTTGATGTACTCAACTGTCTATATACACAGTATTCGGGATCAAGCTTCACCAATGCCCCCCTCCCACCTGTGGTCACAGGCATCACTGGAAAGATGTCTTCACTGACTGACCCCTGGCCTCTCCTCAGACCACAGCCTCACTGTGCCTCAGTGCCTGTGTCAGCCAGTCTTTCCTCCACAAGCTTAGGCTATTACAACTCTTGTTTTGTTTTTGGACAACACTCAGTAATGCTCAGGAGTTAATCCTTGCTCTGTACTCAGGGATTGCTCCTGGCATGGTTCTTGGGACCATATCGGGTACCAAGTACGGAACCTGGGTTGGACAAGTGCAACGTAAATGCCCTACCCACTGTACTGAGTCCATACTGAAACTTATTTTTATGATCTTTTAGTAATCCTTTTAGTAGTCTTTCAGTAATCCTTTCCCTAACAAAAATCATGTACTTACATAAAACTTTTTCTGTTTTTATTTTTGGACTACTGGTGCTCAGAGCTACTACTGGTTTTGAGTTTGGGGGTTGCTCCTGGAGGTGCTCAGGGCATCCTGCAGTACCAAGCATCAAACCAGGCCTCCCACGGCAAAGCATACACTACAGTCCTTTGAGCTAGTTCCCTAGCCCACTCACATTAAACTTTAGACATAGTACAGTGGGGAAGGCACTTTGATGCCTTTAAATACAGCCATACCAGGTTTGATCCTAGCACCCATATGGTCCCCTGGGTTCTGTCAGGAGTGATCCCTGAGCACAGAGCCAGGAGCCCTCACGTCCCGCCCTAGGAAAACATGACCAGAGGAACTAGGGCAGAGTGGCAGATGTCTGACTTGTGTGAAGAGCCATGGAGGAGGTTCCAGGCCAAGAAAGTAATTTAAGCACATCGGATCAAGAAATCTCAGTCCTGGGGCAAGTGCAGGAAACCTCAGGGGGCTTCAGTTTCCACTTTAGCAAAACTACATCTGGGCCATGCCTCCAAACACTGCCTGCTCATTGTAAGTGTAGGGTGAGATTTCTGCCATGCTCACCATCAGCCACAGCAGACACTTCATCCTGCAGTGCTAGAATTAGCTTGGCTTCCCGTGTGAGATACTGGCAACGGCGTTCCTCATGCTGCAGCACAGTGGCGATGCGCCGGGAGAGGTTGTGCAAACAGTTTATCACCGACGGGTCTGCATTAGCCTGCATGAAAAAGTACACATGAGACTCTGACATAGCATATGTACTCAGCACACAAATACAGCAAATACTCAAACCATGAAAGAATCCTTCTCCAATCCTTTGTCCCAGTTCTCTCTCCAGGGACTACCTCTGCCCCTACTTTCCTGTATTCCCTCTAATATTTTGTCCACATAAGCACCTGTCCACTCAGCACCCTATCTTGCAAACAGAACAGAGATGGTTCCAATGGCATGGAGAGGTAAAGACATTTCTAACAAGCAGAGGAAGGCTTGAAGGTCTCCTATAACAGGATCCCACATGTGGGTCAAACGAGGCACCCTTTCTGAGCTTTGGAGTGGTGAGGGCACAGAATCGACAGGATCCCATCTGAAGAAGGACAACAATGGTACCTCCTTCACAAGTCAGATATCTACCAGAACAAAGCTAACTTCCCCATTTCAAAAAGCAGTTTCTCACAGACTGTTTAATCCTATGTGGGATGAATCACAAAGTCCATGTTAGTATAATGAAACACTGACATTCTCAACGAACTGTTCACTGAACACTTTCTGTACTGAAGGATAAGAAGGTCTTCCCAAGAGGCCAGGGGTGTGGTTCAACATTTGCTTTACAAGTGAGGACCTGGGTTTGATCACCAGCACTACAAACAAAACAAAACAAAAACAAAAAACACAAAAGCAACTCTTTGCCAGCAAAATTAACCCTGGCTAAGAGAAGTCACCAGTTTCAAAGCCTTCCCCTGGAGCTTCCTCAGCAACTTTTGGGAACTCTGAACTCTATCAAGAGTTGCAGGCACACTGCCTAGGCCAAGGGCGGAGTGGGGAGCTGTGGGGTCCATGAAGATGTTCCACAGAGTAGATAACTTGCCAACCATGACTCAGAACTTTAGAAGACCAAAAGGCAGCTGAGTCATCCTACTGGGGGAGGTGGGAGAAGGGTAGGGATGAATGGTACCACTGATTAGAAAATTGGGTGTTGCCTGTTTATCTGGCAGGAAGGGCCCTGCTTGCAGAGTGCCACAGCTAGATTTCTGGGCCAAACCAAATTAAGGGCACACCTTCAAGTAGACTTGGAGATTTTCCAAACTCCCACTGGGACCCATACAACAGCATGCATGCCTAGGCTGAGAAAAGTGAGTGCTGCTCCCATGGCATGCCCGCTACTGGGCAGCAGACTTGTCCTTAACATCAAGGATACCCATCAGTAGTGCCCTCCCAAAACATATGAAACAGGAGAGCCTGAATTACAGGGTAAATTCACCTTTATTAGAGCCTGTACAAAACACTCCTACCAGCAAAGCAGAGGGGAAAAGAATACCTCTCTGAGTACGTGATAATCCCCTTAAGGAAGTAACTGTCACAGCAGAAAGCCCAAACACCTGCTGGAGGCCCATAAGCTCAGGCACAACAGTACTGTAAGTCTAAGTCTGGAGCCCACTGTCCCATTTCTACACACATGAAGCAGGAGGACTTGAACTACTGGAATGCCAGGGGGTCCTGTTAGGGCACCTAAATGGGGCACTGCTCAAAATGTCTGTAGATCTCAAGAACGTGTGTCTGTTCTGAGAGAGCTACCAACCGAGGCTTGCCTACTCTGAGGGAAAGTTCTGAGAAATGCCACACTATCCTATCCCCAAATGTGATGTAAAGCAATGTGAAGTTTACGTTTTTTCCTCTGAGATTCTCTCACTTCCAACACTCACACCCAAATGTCAACAGGCCTTCTGGAGCCAATGTTCTGTCACACAAGGACATACATGGAAGCTGAACAAATTTGACCCAAACTAGGAACATTTGACGGGAACAAAGGAGGGACATCAGAGAATAAAGGACCAAGACACACATCGCCACATGTAGCTATTTTTCTTCCTGGCCTTCCAGGCCAACTGCAAAAAATGTTTTGATAGTTGAGGAAGTTTCAATGATCAAGTATTAGAGAAATTTGTCCAGGTGTGAGGAGCATGGACCAGATTCTAGAGAGCTTTTTCCAGGTGGAAAAGCATCATGGCATGTGATAAATGTTCACATTTTATAAAGATGGCTCCTAAAGTAAGTAGGAATAAAGATTTTCTTCCCCAGAAAAATTAACCTTGGCTAAGAAAAACCACCAGTTCCAACCCCCCACCTGCCCTGGTCTGGAACTTGTTTTCAAATATTTGAGTGACGATGTGTGTATGTGGGAGCAGATGGAGCCAGGGTCTAAGGGGAACAGTTACTAAGAGATAAATAAGTATGTGACATTTATCTAACTATTATCACTAGAAGAGGATCTGTTGAGGACAGAAAAGAAACGGATTATCTAGCACAAAATACTGACTCTTTACACATTATTTACACTTCTTCCCACTCTTCAACTCATTGGCCTGTGCTGTTGCTTCCTGTGCTTTCACCTAGATGTGACCCATCTGCCTCCCTTACATTCTGGTTGAACCCCCATTTCCTCCTGTTTAGTGACCACAGATTTGCCGGTGTACAACAACCACCATCTTGCCTAATATTTCCAAAAACTGGACACAGGATTATTCCAACTTAATTCTCATTATAAAAACCTTTACAGGAGCTGGAGCAATAGTACAGTGTATGCCTTGCACCCAGCCAACCCAAATTCAATCCCCAGAATCCCATAGGGTTCCCCAAGCACTGCCAGGAGTAATTCCTGAGTGCAGAGGCAGAAGTAAGCCCTGAGCATCGCTGGATGTGACCCCAAAAGTTTTATATATATATATATTATATTCTAATAATATATTATATATATATGTTTTTACTTTTTGAGCCACACCCAGCAATGCGCCACACCCAGCAAAGCTCAAGGGTTACTTCTGGCTCTGCATTCAGGAATTACTCCTGGCGGTGCTGGAGGGACCATATGGTATGCCAGGGATCAAACCTGGGTCAGCCATGTGCAAGGCAAAGGCCTTCCCACTGTTCTATCACTCCGGCCCAAAATATATAGATTTATAGAGAGGAGTCAGCAAGATAGTACGGTGGGTAAGGCATTTACTTTGCATATGGTTGACCTGAGTTCAATCCCTAACGACCCATATGGTCTCCCAAGCACAGCCAGGAGTTATCCAGGAGTGCAGAGTCAGGAGTGAGCCCTGAGCACTGCTGGGTGTGGTTCAAACCCTTGCCCTCTGCCAAAGAAAAAAATTTTATAGAATTCATCAGTTTGGTTTTTCACTATCAGTTCCCTTTGTAGATAGCACTGTAGCACTGTCCTCCCGTTGTTCATCGATTTGCTCAAGCAGTTACCAGCAACTCCTCCACTGTGAGACTTGTTACTGTTTTTGGCATATTGAATACGCCACGGGGAGCTTGCCAGGCTCTGCCTTGCGGGCGGATACTCTCGGTAGCTTGCCGGGCTCTCCGAGAGGGACGGAGGAATCAAACCCAGGTCGTTCACATGCAAGGCAAATGTCCTACCTGCTGTGCTATCACTCTTTGTAGATATCTGTATTATATAAACATATAATACAATTATAAGGTCAAAAACAAAAACTATAAATGTATATAAAGTAAGACTTTCTTTTGGAATCCCATGCCTCGTTGACATCATTCTTGTTTTCATCTTCAGTTCTTTGTTTTGTGCCAGACCTTGTCAGTGCTCAGGACTATGTTCAGCTTGGTGCTCTGCAGTCGCTCCCAGAAGCACAGAGGGACCATGTGGTGCCCGGAATCAAACCCAGGCCTCCCACATTCCTGCATATGCTCCAGACCTTTGAGCTATCTCCCTATCCCCTTCAGTTTGCTATTTATAAACAAGGTGCACCAAGTTGTTTGTTGGCTGGTAAGTTGTCATTGTTATGTTGTTTTGGAAGATTACACCCAGCAGTTTTCAAGGGCTAGTCCTGGTTCAGTGCTCAGGGCTCACTCCTAGAGATAGTCTGAGGTGCATATGCAGTGCCGAGAATCAAATGGGATAGGCTGCATGCAAGACAAATGCCTTAATTCCCCTTAATTCTAGGGGAAAGGGCAGCTCAGATAGAGAAGGGAGCACCAAATAAAGGGCGTTTGGAGGATCCTCCCAGGAGGGGAGATGCATGTTGAAAGTAGACTATTCACTGAACATGTTTGCCACTCAGTGCCTCTTTTGCAGACCACAACACCCAAAAGGAGAGAGAGAACAAAAGGGAACGCCCTGCCATAGAGGCAGGGTGGGATGGGGGGTGGGAGGGATACTGGGATCCGTGGTGGTGGAAAATGGGCACTGGTGGAGGGATGGGTACTTGATCATTGTATAACTGAAAACCAAGCACAAAAATTTGTAAGTCTATAACAGTACCTCATGGTGTTTCACTAATAAAAATAAAAAATTTTTAAAAAATGCCTTAATTTGTACTGTCTCTTTAGCTCTATGCCAGTTTTTTCAAATTAAATTCCAGGGCAGGGGATATAGTTTAGTGGTAGAGCACATGCTTTGCATGTATGAGCCTTTGAGATCAATCCATAAGATATAAAATAAAAAATAAAGCTTCAGGAACCAGGAGGAGAGTTTGGGGGTCAGGGACACACGTCTTGTACGTGCAATGACTCAAGTTCAGCCCCAGGCATAACATGCCAATCCAAGAGCACTACTGGTGGCCTCTAGCACTACTGAGTCCTAGAGTTTAATTCTCTGGTCAGGTTGGTTGAGTACTGTCTGGAATGGGCCCCTGAGCACTGCTTGGACACCCTTCCTCCACCCCTCAAAAAAGAAAAAAGCTCCATTCTAAATACACTTTTCTCAAGCACTCGTTTTATCTGACCCACAGTCAATATAATCTCTAAATCAAAAAGCTTGAAGAGGGAAAAAAATACCTTGAGATATAGAAGGGCACTGACATTTACAGATTCCCTGTCTGTTAACTCTTAAGTCTCAGTCCCACCAGACTTGACGGTTTTGAAGGCACACATGGTTTCCTTGTCACTAAGAGCTAGCCACTCTCACATGTCTTCACATGAGCTACTATGCCAATCACATGCACTTGTCAGAAAGAAGGGATTACTAGACACGATTGAACAAAATCAGCATAATATACCAAAGAATTTTCATTATTGGGCTGGACTGATAGCACAGTAGGTAGGTAGGGCGTTTGCCTTGCACGCGGCCGACCTGGGTTCGATTCCCAGCATCCCATATGGTTCCCCGAGCACTGCCAGGAGTAATTCCTAAGTGCAGAGCCAGGAGTAACCCCTGTGCATTGCCGGGTATGACCCAAAAAGCAAAAAAAAAAAAAAAGAATTTTCATTATTTAAAAATCACTGATTATTAATTCTTAAGGTATTTTTAAAGTACCTTCATTAGCTGGCAGTCCTTACTCAGAAGAGCTTTTTTTTTTTTCTTTTGATATTTGGGCCACATTCACCTATGCTCAGGGCATATTCCCAGCTCTGTGCTCAGGGATGACTCCTGGCTGGGCTCAAAGGAAACATATTAGGTGCCAGGGATCAAAAACACAGGTCGGTGGCATATGAGGCAAGTGCCTTACCTGCTATACTATCTTTCCAGGCCCTCAAGGGGGAACTTTTCATGTTTATTTGGATCCCTTATATTATTTTTATCCTCCTTTGGTTTTTGGGCCACACCAAACAGTACTCAGGGCTTACTTCTGGCCCTGCGCTCAGAGATTACTCTTGGTTGGCTCAAGGGAACCATATGGGGTGCTGAAAATAGAACTCTGGATTGGCTGTGTACAAGCAAATGCCCCGCTGCTCTAGTATAGCTCTGGTCAAAATTATTATTATTATAATTATTTTAATTTCAGGGTCACACCTGGTGGTACTCAGCTACTCCTGGCTCTGCACTAAGGAATTACTCCTGGTGGTGCTTGGGGGATCATACGGGATGCCAGGGATCGAACCCAGGTCTATATGCAAGGCAATCACCCTACCTGCTATACTATTACTCTGGTCGCAAGATCATATATATATACACATATGTATACACACACATATATATATATATATATAATTTAGCTTTTGGGTCACATGGCAATGCACAGGGGTTACTCCTGGCTCTGTACTCAGGAATTACTCCTGGCGGTGTTCAGGAGACCATATGGGATGCTGAGAATTGAACCCGGGTCGACCACATGCAAGGCAAACACCCTACCTGCTATGCTATTGCTCCAGCCCCCAAGATCCCATATATTTTTATTGAAAATAAACCTCCCATAACTAGTGAAAACAGTCTTAGACTAGAAATTATTCAAGAAACAAGCAGGCTTAACTGCAAACTAAAAATTAATAAAAAATAAAAAACCAAGGCTGGAAATGTTGGCTCAATGGGAGAGTATAGGCCTTGAATATCTAGGGCCTTGGATTAGAAAAATCAGAGCTTTGGTAAATTCCTGGTGGGGATGTAATATGGTTTAGCTGCTAAGAAAAAGGCTGGCAATTTATCAGAAGGTTAAACACAGGATTATCACGTGACTCAGCAGTTTCAATCCTAGGTAGTTTATACCCAAGGAAAATGAAAACATGTGTCCACATAAATTTGCATAACAACTCTCTTTATCAGCATTTCTCGTAACAGTCAAAAGGTATGAGCAACTCAAATGTTCATCAACAGATGACTGAATACAGTGTGGTCTATGCACACAATGGAATATGATTAGCCATAAAAAGAAACAAAGTATTGACATAAATCATAATATAAACGAATTTCAAAAACTATGCTAAGTGAAAGAAACGAAACATCAGTGATCACACAATGGATGATTCCATTTATATGAAACATTTGGAATGAGAAAATTCAGAGACAGAAGCAGACAACTGAGAAGCCAGAGCCATAGCACAGCAGGTGGGGTACTTGTCAAGCACACGGTCAATCTAGATTCAATCCCTGGCACCCTGCATGCTTCCCTGACCCCACCAGGACTGATCCATGAGCACAAAGCCTTATCATTGATGGCTGTGGTCCCAAAACTAAAAAACAGTATGTTAGTAGTTTCCAGAGTTTAAGGACAAGGAATACTCAATTAAGGACTTTCTCCTTTGGGGGCAATAAAAGTTCTGAAACCAGAGAGAAATGTGATAGTTACACAGCACTGTCACTACATGCCACCAAACTTTATGCTTTAAAATGACAGATTTGGGGGCCAGAGCAACAGTACAGCGGGTAGGGTGCTTCCCTTGCAAATAACTGACACAGATTCAATCCTTGTCACCACATATGGTCTCTCAATCCTGCAGGAGATCCCTGAGCTCAGAGACAGGAATATGCCCTGAGCACCACCCAGTGTGACTCAAAACAAAAATAAATATATAAAACAATAAATTCTGTTTTGTGTATTTCATTTTATTTTGGGTTTTTTGTTGTTGCTGTTATTTGTTTGTTTGCTCAGGGCTTATGCCTGGCTCTGTTCTCAGGGATCACTCTTGGCAATGCTTGGGGAATCCTATGAGGTGGTGGATATTGAACCATGGTTATCTGCTACAAGGAAAGCACCTTTACCTCTTTCATATCTTCCTAAGCCCTGTATTTCATTTTGAAAAGATGGGCTGGGATGGGGTTCAGTGGTAAACACATGCCTTCCATATGTGAGCCCTGAATTAAATTATCTACACCACTGGGTGCAATCTCTGGCACTATCATCACACCAATAGAAAAGGAAAAACAATGAGAATGGGTTTTTCAGAACCCCAGGAGGGCTAGCACCCCAGGAGAGCAATGCTATGTTCATAGCTGATTGAGCTGAGTCATGATACATTCACAGGAAATAAATAACTGCTACGTCCCTCTGATGCTCCTCCCAAACCTACCCATGCTTTTCAGGCATTCACAATCAATCACTCACCCTCAGTGCAAATACGACATTAAAAAGAATCATGGTGGGTGTTTCTCTCTTTGGGGACGGATCTGTTTTCGAGACCTACAAAAGAAACACCATTCTAATTGAGAGTCGCAACTTTCCAAGAAAAGCCATGTTCAGCACTTTTATTTCATACATGTAGAAGGTTTCAGAATATAGCAGAACCAGAAAACAAAACAAAACAAAAACAAGAGCTTCTGGGTTGCTGGAATGACTTTGCACGGGTGCATGTCAACCGCATGGCATGGAGTCCACAAGGGAGACACAAATGGGCAAGTCAATGCTATGATTCAAAGTGATGAGTCCATGCCAGCCAATGGAAGTGAGCTGAGGCGCTGAGGAGATGAAAAGCAGATGAGGTGGATAAGGGATCTCTGGCTAGACCCTCCCTCCTGTGCTGTTATCCCTAGCATCCATCTGAGTCCTTCCAGGCCATCTCTACCAGACATGATAAGTACTAAGGACAACTAAGGAATAGGACAGGGGCTGGGGACATGGCTCAAGTAAAGGAGCAAATGCTTTGCACATTAGGTGTGAGTTCAATTCCTGCAAAGGCGTCCCCAAGCACTGATGGAATGGCCTTGGTGCGCCCGGGCATCTGGAGCATCAGCTCAAGTGCCAAACTGTCAGACCTGCGCTAACTTGCCAAGCACTGCTATAGACTACACCAATCCCTCTCCCCAGGTAGCACACTGAGGGTGGCCCCTCTAAATACAGAAATAAGACAACGTTCATATTTTGTTGTTTTAGAGGGAGGTGGGGAGAAGCATTTGAGTCATTTGGGTCATATCAGGGGTCACACCATCTTCTGAGTATGAGAGAAGGTGCTAACTGTGAGGCCAATGTGTCCAGCCCATATACAGTTTCTCAAATGTATAAAATGGAGATAAAAATTTGGGAGTGGTGGAAGGAGCTACCTTGCAGTACTCAGAGGCTATTCTAGGCTTTATGCTCAGGAGTGACCCCGGCTTTGCTCAGGGGGCCCTATGTGGTGCCAAGGATTAGAACCAGGCTGGCAGAACATAAGGCAAGTATCTTAACTCTTATCTCTCCTGTTCTAAATGGACTAAATCTTATACTACTGTATCAAAACCCTTTAGAATCCAAGTGATGCTGCCAACTCTACTTTTGGGCAAACAACCAACTGGCAGGGAACTTGCAAGTGTGTACTTTTCCTTAGATATACACAATCTTTTTGTTTTGGGGTCACACTTGGCAATGTTCAGGGGTTGCCAGCTCTGCACTCAGAACTCATTTCTGTTGGATTCAGGGACCATATGGGATGCCCAGATCGAATCAGGATCTGCCATGTACAGGGAGAGTGCCCTACCTACTGTACTGTCACTCCAGTCTCAGTACATTCAATTTTTTTTTTTTTTTTTGCTCTTTGGGTCACACCCAGTGATGCACAGGAGTTTCTCCTGGCTTTGCATTCAGGAATTACTCCTGGAGGTGCTCAAGGGACCATATGGGATGCTGGGAATCAAATCCGGGTCAGCCGCGTGGAAGGCAAATGCCCTACCCGCTGTACCATCGCTTCAGCCCAATACATTCAATCTTATTAAAACTTGATTCATCGGAGTACACACACGGGGGGGGATGAATTTTGTTTTTATTTACTTTTTATTTGGGGGTCACACCCAGCAGTGCTCAGGGCTTACTCTGGGCTTTATGCTCAGGGATCACTCCTAGTGGGACTCGGGAACTATATGGGATACGAGTAATTGAACCCGGATCGGCCATGTGCACGATAAGCACCTTACCTGCTGTACTATATCTCTGGCCCTAACTGTTTCTATTCTTGGGTCAAAGCCAGTGGAGCTCATGCAATGCTTGGGGTTCCAAGCTGTGCCAGAAATTAAATCTGGACTTCCGACATTATGAAGCATATACACTAGTCCACTGAGCTGTCTCTCAGTCCCAGTGTTTAACACAATAATAAAAGCTATGTTAATATTGGCGATAATACCATTTAATAAAAAGTATACTACTTTTATTATAAAGTTAAAAGGTCAGGCTTGACAAACACTACTGAACTCATTCTCTTGGTCTCTCCTAGAAACACAGAGTATATATAAATTGGAAGGCCACAACATGCAGAAAGCAAAAACCAGGACACAATGGAAGAATCAGGGACAAGGATGCATCTCTTTCTCCACTGTATCCGCAGATTGTGCGAAGAGTGTATCATCACCACAGTGCCCTATGGACCCTAGAGTCAGAATGGGCCATGCTCAAGAAGAATCTCACCTGCTAAGGGAAGGCCATACCTGCCCCAGAGCATGCTGCAGCAGTGTCGGATGCCCAACAAAACGTACGTTATCAATCTTCAATTCAAATTTTTGGCCACACATTTCAGACTTGGTTGCCAAAATTGTTGCCAGAATGACATCTGAAAACCTTAAAAATTAAAAAGTATAATGGAAATAAGTTAGAATATGTCATAGCAGCATGCCCACCGCCCAGAGAAGGGAAGAATCTCAAGATATGGAAGATATGGCAGGTTTGTGCGTGGAGTGACTCTGCCCCACTGCTGACCTGGAAGCTTCTATCAGTTGCCTTGATGAAGCAATCCCCAAGACCAGGAATATAAATCATCAGAATTACAAGGTAAAAAGCATGAGAAGCAAAGACTGAAGTACATGCTGTCATTTCTTGGCATGCTCTATGAAATTCAGGAGAGAAATGAATTGCAGTTTGCTTTTAAAGGGAGGAACAACAGCTGGAGCCGGCACTGCCCTGAGGAGCCACTCACTAAGGCTCACAGGTTGGGATCCTCTCCCGACTAGACCAGGTTTGCCAGGCTATACCCCTCACTCCCTGGAATACCCCACCTCCTCAGTGCTATATAGTAGTGGGCATGGAACAGCACCAGCTGCACCAGGCTAATTTCCTCACTGTACAAATATAAAGTCTTTCCCTTACCCTGAGCTCTAGAACTTTCCAATTTCTAACAAGAGCCCTTTTAAATGACCCACCGACATGACATGAATAAAGGGATGCACAGCAGTGAGTGCTGTGAGGAGTGGGAATGCCTGCTGTTAGTGAGAGTAGATCGGGGGTCCCCCATCTCTGTAAAACTGCTGAGCTCACTCCTTTCCAAGTGTACATGCACACCCACATCTCCACACCAGCACCCTGTAGCTCTCTGTCCAGGGAGGGTCCAGATAAGGGGAGCTGTCACAGGGAGGAGAACGCAGGGGATACTGTGCAAACTCTTATCTCAGAGCCCAGGCTTGGGGCCTCTACTCTAGAAACACTGACACACCAGGTCTGACCCAGAGCCAGATGGGAGATGAAGCCTGTGCACAATCCTCCATCTGGAGAAATCTTTCACATTGACACTAGAAGATTCTCTGTTGGAGGAGGAGGGGCCAGCACCCCCTGGGTCATGCTCTACCCCTGGGCAGGGAGAAACCATAGGGGACAGACACTCCAGTATGGACCCATAGACTTCAGTGAGGAGCTAGAATCCAACAGCCACCACACCGGTGAGCCTCCTGCAGGGCTGTGGGGCAGTGCAAGTGAGCAACCACTCTCCATTTCTGTAAAGAAAGATATTTTTCAGAGGTGTTCCAGCTCAACACTAAAAGTGCAAATGACTATCACAAAAGGATCAAGTACTATAAACCACTGGTCACTGTCACTGTCACTGTCCTCCCGTTGATCATCGATTTGCTCGAGCGGGCCCAGTAACGTCTCCATTGGAGACTTTGTTGTTACTGTGTCTGGCATATCGAATACGTAACGGGGAGCTTGCCAGGCTCTGCCGTGCGGGCGAGATACTCTCGGTAGCTTGCCGGGCTCTCCGAGAGGGGCGGAGGAATCGAACTCGGGACGGCCATGTTGGCTGCGAGCAAGGCAAACGCCCGACCGCTGTGCTATCACTTTTATTTAAAGTGCAAGGGATGTAATTCCACAGTAGCATAATTTGTCTTGCATAGAGGCCCTGGGTTGTTTTCTTTCTCACCACAAAAACAAACAAAAAACCCAATGGAGACGTTACTGGGCCTGCTCGAGCAAATCGATGATCAACGGGAGGGCCTTTACTTTACTTTTTACTTACTTTCATTAAAACAGAAAGGATCTAGGAAGAGGGCCATTCACTCTATATGGTGGGGCTTATCAAAACAAGAATAAAATGCATGATGTGCAACTGAGGGAAGCTTTCCAAGTCTTTTCTCAGTAGAAATTAGGGGGTCTAGAACCACTGAGGCTTGAGGGAGTTTCAGCCTTCCTCAGGAACTAGCTGAGTCCTTTAGGTGTCCTTCAAACCGACCATAGCAGGGTTTGATCAGAACAGGCTGCTCTGCCTGATACAGTCAGTCCATGCTACACCAACAGTGTCAGACACATTTTGTGAAATGCAGAGAGAATAGCCAAGGCCCTGGCCACCCACAAAGGACTCTACCTACAATACTACATTCCAGAGACCAGAGATGGAGATTTCAGTGTCTCAAATCAGAAACATATGTGTTCTTCAAAAACTCCATAGAGCTCACTCTACCCTGGAAGTCTTCCCCAAGGAATATGGTGAGAGGAAAGAAGGGCTCAGGATATTAAAACCATAACAAACACAGGCCAAAACAATAGTAGAATGAGGAAAGCACTTGCTTTACATGCGGCAGACCGAGGTTTGATCCCCACAGCACCACATATGGTTGCCTGAGCACTGATCCATAAGTCCTGAGCACCTCTGGATGTGACCCCAAACCAAAACAAAACCACAACCAATTTTACCTGAGCAACTGGCCCAGTAATAATCTAAAGAAATAACATTCCTCTACTCTGTTACCCAATGACTCAGGGATCCAGAGATTATGGGCAGAATTTCCTTTTTTCCTCCAAAAAGAAAAAAAAAAAAAGAAGTAAAAAAAAAAAACCCAAAACCTCCAGGGCCAAGAATATGGCCCAAGTGATAGAGTACATGCATTGTACACTCAAGGTCTTGGGTTCAATACCTGGCAATTTATACCACCCACTCCCAGTACTGGCCCTTACAAGGAAAAAAAAATCATTATACTATTCACTTTTTTCTGTGCTATTAAAAAATCTCCACCAAAACTATTCTGTGTTCCTCTCTCAGGAAGACTTAGCTCTCGTCCTTAGCACCAATCTAGGGTCTTAAGGTAGTCTTGATTATAGAGATGACTTCTGAGATTCAGGGGTCAATTTTACATCTAAAAACGTAGACATGCAAACAAGCCCTCCAAGAGTCAAATCAACAGCACCTACCCATACAATACCAGAAACAATGATCAATTAACATAGTTGTTAACTATGCTAATAACAGTTTTTAAAAACAATTTTTTTGTAGTTTCTAGGTACACCTGGCAGTGCTCAGGGTTTTCTTCTAACTGTACTCAGGGATCACTCCTGGCAGGTTCAGGGTACCATATGGGATGTCAGAAATCAAACCCACATTTGTCACATTCAAGGCAATTCCCTACCAGCTGTAATCTCTCTCTAGCCCCCAATTTAAAAGAACTTTTTTTCTAGGTGGGGGGGGGGGGGGGCCACACGAGCAGTGCCCAGGGATAAGTACTGGCTCTATACTCAGCAATTAAACATGGAGGACTCAGGGGATCATATGTGGTGCCAGGAATCAAACTTATCAAACTTGGGCCGACAGCATGAAAAGCAAATGTACTACCCATTGTACTATCACTTCAGTCCTAAAAGTGTTTTGTTTGGTTTTGGTTTTGGGCCACACCTGGTAGTGCTTGGGGGACCATTGCCAGAGATCAAACCCCGATCAGAAGCATGCAAGGCAAGCACCTTACCCACTGTACTACCTTCCACCTAAAAATGTTTTTGTTGTTTTGGGTTTTTTTTTTTTGTTTTGGGGTAAGACCTGGCAATGATCAGGGGTTACTCCTAGCTCTGCACTCAGTGGTTAATCCTGACAGTGCTCAGAGAACCATCTGGGATGCTGGAGAACAAACCCAGGTCAGCCACATGCAAAGTAAACACCCTGCCCTATCTGCTCTCTCCAGCCCTAATTTTTTTTTTTTTTTGCTTTTTTGGGTCACACCCAGTGATGCATAGGGGTTACTCCTGGCTCTGCACTTAGAAATTATTTCTGGCAGTGCTCGGGGACCATATGGGATGCTGTGAATCAAACCCGGGTCGGTTCGTGCAAGGCAAACACCCTACCCACAGTCCTACCTACAGCCCGCCCCTAAAAACTTTTTAAAGCACCTGCCCACCCACCTGAAAAGTGTCAACCCCTTCAGAGGGAGTCAACTGGAAAGTCACATGTCACTGAAATGGAAGCCATGTGGACATCTAGGTTTGATCCTGTCACCACATGGTCAATTAAGCACTACAAGGAGTGACCACTGATCACCAAGCAAGAGGTCCCCCTGAGCAACACCAGATGTGACCCCAAAAACAAATTCTAAAAGAAACCATACCATCCCAAGGGGCCACTCAGGAAAGCTTATCTGGAGCAACTCCAGGGTGGTGGTTGGCCACTCAGTTTATTTGAGCAAGTCTAGCCCAACTGAAACTCACTTGCCACCGCTTAATATTATACACATATGATGAAAAAATTACAAGAGGCATTATACTTAATATAGTGTCTGATATGTCTGACATTTATAAAGACACAGAGTTAAACTCTGAGATTTGGGGGGTGAGAGGGGAAATGTCAGGAACTTAACTGCTAAAACAGTTCAGCGAAACAAAAACATGTGATAATAATTGTTATTTCCAGAATTTACATAAATTATTTTCCATTGTTTAAATGATAGAAGATCTGGTAAGTGTACTGTAACAAAATAACTCTTACATAAGCTAATGATTCCTTGGGCATGAGCAATAGTACAGCTGGTAGGGCAAATATTTGCCCTGCATGAAGCCAACTCAGGTTCGATAGCTGGCACCCCATATGGCCCCACCCTGAGCCCCAACAGGAGTGATCCCTGAACACAGAGCCAGGAGTAAACCACGGGCACTATCAGTGTAGCCCAGAAACAAACAAAAAAAAAAAAGACACTAAATATTCCTGGAATAACTTAGAAATGTAAAGACACATACATTTAAGAAGATGTACCAGTCCATCTGGAAAATGTGCCAAGACCTTCCTATCCTGCCAAGATATCTAGGAACAAGATTCATTCTCTGGCTTGCCAGAAAGAGTGGAAGAGAGCTCAACTCTGCCCCCAGTTTAATGGGGGCCTCACATATCTTCTGTGTACCCCCCAATACCTACTAGAGAAGCCCTTTGAGGTAGCAGGAGGATATTAGCTTATCCATGTCTTCCTGAGAAATCTTCCTAAGATTCATGAGAATATTTTTGTTCCTAAAGGGCACACACTAAAAAACATAGAAGCCTGAGAAAAATCACACAAGCCCCAACCTCTTGAAAAGACCTCACCAAACCTCTCTGACAAATGAAAAAACGAAGCAAGGAACAAAAAACAAGGGTATTCTGGAAGGGGTGAAGCAGTATGCTAGAAAGAGTTATTAAAAAACAAACAAAAAACATGGTCCTGGTTACCTGTCACTTTCACAGGGTCACTGGTGTCTGCCTGCCTGAAGGAGGAGGAAATATGAGTGATGTCTGGTCCCATAAGTCTCCCTGGGACCAACCAACCTTGGCTTGGCCTCTGTGAAAAACCAAAACAACTCCAGGTAGAGAATGGGCAGAGGCTGTGGAAAGCCTGGGCACTCATGGGAGATTGAGATAGTGAAATCTGAGCTAGAGCTGTGTGCCTCGTTAGTCATTCTTCAACATTGAGGGAAATCAGGAGTTAAGCACAATTACAAGAAAAGAAGGCAGTAGGAATCAAGACAGAAAGGTGCTGGAAAAGTCTTGGTCTTACCCTGCAACCAATTGCTCATCGGTTGGAGGACATGGCTCGCTGAAATGGGAACAGGACCATCAAGACCAAACAAAAACACATTGCTCTTTAAATCACAAAAGGTTACGAGGTTGCTTATTTAAAACAATATTAAAGTTTAGCAAAATACCACTATTATGTAATAACTGCTTAATGAAGACTAAGCAACTTACCAAATAAGAAGACACTGGAGCTGGAAAGATAGTATGGGAGGAAGGCACTTGTCTTGCTTGCAGCTGCACCGGCTATGACCCTCGTTTATTTATTTATTTATGTTTTTTGGGTCACACCCAGCGATGCTCAGGGCTGACTCCATGCTCTGCACTCAGAAATCACTCCTGGCGGTGCTCAGGGGACCATTTGGGATGCTGGGAATCAAACCCGGGTCAGCTGCATGCAGGGCAAACGCCCTACCCACTGTGCTATTGCTCCAGCCCCTGACCCTCGTTTAAATTCCCAGCACCACATATGGTCCTCTGAGCACTGTCAGGGATCACTCCTGAGCACTGAGCCAGGAACAGTTCCCTAAGTATTGCTGGGTATGGCCCAAATTCCATCACCACCACCACCACCACCACCAACCCAAAGAAAGAAAAGAGGATACAGATAATACCCATGCTTTTCTCACTGAAACTCATGCTCTCACATGTAAATACTGGTTGGTGAGAATGAGAGTCAGTTTTCACAACAAGACTGGAAGCCTAAGTCAAAGCTCAGCAGCACATATATTAGCTACATGTCTTTGCACAAGCTAAATGCTCATGTATTCCAGATTTCAGCTGAAAGCATCTCACCAAGAACAAGGATTCCCACAATAAAAGCCTCCTGGGCACTGCAGAGTCAACGTAAGTATCTCAGCTCTAATTCTGAGACAAAGTGAACCCAGTATAGCTCAACTTACGGATTTTTTGCACAGAACATAACTGAGGTCCCTTCAGCAAGAAGAAACACAACTGCATGGTCACTTTAGCAAGCAGCAACATATCTGTAGCTGGTCTGTATATGTGTGTTGGAAAATGTCTGAAATGTCCGCACTTTCGACTTGAGTTTTTAAAGAAAGCTTATTTAATGGTCAAAGTTCCTCGCAGAGATCTGTTTTGCTGGGACATGCTTCTCAGTATGCTCGAAAGATGGGGCTAAATTCCAGGGTAGATTCAGCTCTGTGAGATGAGAGCCAGTCATGATGTGGTGCACACTTACAACATATGGTCATATTCACATTTAGGCCCCTTGTTCTGAGCAGCTATCAAACTTCAGCTCACTGGTTAGAACAGAGATAAGATGGTTCACAGGCTTTGCCAAGAAATATTCATCAGAAAGTCAGAAGCCATAAAAGCTTAAAAGCAATTTCTACAATTTTATCTCTAATAATGAGACAAATCACAAAGAAATTCCATCACTTCAAGGGGATGATCTCATGAGACTTCAACGTGTCAACAGTGTTCCATTTTTGTACTCAGGTATGCAGTGGCATATTAAACAGCACAGGTATGCTCTATGGACTTGTGTCAGCCCCTCCACAGGAAGCACATTTATTGGCAAATACTATCACTGAGACAGGTGTTCTCCTGGCACCTAACTTGAGAAGGTACGGAGGAGAAGACAGCAAAACTGAAGCTCACAGTCTGAAAACATGCCCAAGATCATACACTGTAAGACAACTTGAGCGTCAGACCCAGAACCCTCCACGTATTGTCCTGTGTGGGATGAACCAGAGAGAACAAAGCAGTGTAGACACAGTAGCTCTGCTAGGAAGGGGTAGGAAATAGTCACCAGTTCTGCCAGAGGATCTCTGTGGTACTATAATTTATAAGGAAAAAATATATTTGGTCATTCAAATTATTGAAATATATTCCTTAAATACATCTGGCCTTTATCCAGTGATTCTGTTTCAGAGATCCCAAAAATCCTAGAATTTCCTAAATGTCCAAAGTGATGAAGACATATTTTTACAAGCAAGGTAATTCAGGAAGTACCTGAGGATGGGGAATGGTTGCCTGAAGGCCACTTATATGATAAGAAGGTTGGAATTCTTAATTCTACTCCCTCTGGACCTCTTGGAGAGCCCAGCAAGCTACAGAGAGTATCTCGCCCGCACGGCAAAGCCTGGCAAGCTACCCATGACATATTCGATATGCCAAACACATTAACAAGTCTCACAATGGAGACATTACTGGGCACGCTCCAGCAAATCGATGAACAATGGGAGGACAGTGCTATAGTGCTACTCCCTCTGGAAAGGATAGACGGGCTAGAGATTCAGTTCAAGCACGAGCCAATGTTCCATCAATCATGCCTATGTGATGCAGCCTCACAAAAAAAAAAAAAGGGGGGGGGGGAGAGGAATACACATCAGTGATAGAACACTTGCCTTTCACATGTGAAACTACAGGTTCAATGGAGTTGGCAGGTTGTGGGGAAGTCAAGAGAGAGGAAGCGAAGTAGGTCCAAAGAGCAACTGCATTGTTGATGTTGAGAATGTAGAAATTTAAAAAGAAGGAAGCACCCTTCAAGAGGTCATGAAATTCAGTCCCTTTTCCCTGACACCATCCCTTGTGCATTTATTTCATTCATCTGTTCTTCAGTTATATCTTCTGCAATAATTCAGTGATACAGTAAGTAAATGGGTTTCCAGAGTTCCGTGAGCTGCTCTGGAAAATTAACAGAATCTGAGAGGGGGGTCCTTTGAACCTCTGATTCAGACACTCAGTAAGTCAGAAGCACAGACAGCAACTTGGGCTTGGAACTGGCATATTAAGTGGAGGAAGGTGGTATTGGAAGTCTAAGTAGTTAACCTATGCCATCTTATGCTATTTCTGGGGAGTGTGTCAAAACTGAGGGAGTTAAATTACCAGAAACCCTGTTGGCTGGAATTGGGTTTGGTAACTCAAACACCCCAACATTCTCAACAAAATATAGAAAAAACACACTCTTAGGATTTCACAACACTGTAACTGATGAAAGCTATCACAACACTGTGCAGCAAAGGCCCAAGGAGTGGTTGTTAGTGGAGAGAGACTCACTTAATTTTCAGGCAACACTAGAGGTTATGTTCAGAGAAATCCAGAATAGGCAATTTACAATCTTCCTTTATCTGGAACTCTGTTACCATCTACTAATCCTTAAAAATAAACATTACGAAGGCAGAAGCACTCATTTCTGATGTGATCCTCCCTAAGAACATTCCCAAAGAACGCTGGAAAGCACACAGGGAAGGAGCTACCTTCAGCTATGCCCTAAAAGCAAATTTTAATCAGCTCTGGCTCTCAGCCCTTATCACCACCTGTCAAACTATGCCAGACAATCACCTACATCTACTCTGCGGGTATGAAAAAATGAACACTGGGCATGCTTCACTTCATGTTCCTTTCAAGGGAAGGAGCATTCTACAGAAATATAACTCTATCTGTGTTCTGATCTGCTTCACCAACCACACAATCCACAACTAAAACAGATAACCAGCCTATGCAGGAAACCAAAGATTACCAACATAAATCCCAGTCTTCCAAGGAGAAAATATCTGGGCCAAAAAGAGATGGGGATTTCCCAGGCCTAGAAGCAAAACTTGTCCCATCACAGAAGACTACAGAGTCCTTACCTGGAGTCTCCATCCTGGTCATCAGCATGATCGCCTGTATTGTTCACGGCGTATCTGCTACAAGGCTTGCCTGAGTAAGGGCAAAAAGAGAAGAATGGCTAAAAAAGCAAGATCTGCTGACAAACAAGGGAATTGTGGAGCCATTGAAAGTGATTATTTCTAAAATGTAGTAAGCACATAATAGAATAATATTTGTACTCAAAAAGCAATGAAGTTCTGACGTATTGTAATGAACAAAGTAAAACACAAGGACAAACAAAAAACTTCTATGAAGTAGGTACAATAAGCAAATTCCCAGAGAGAGAACTAGATTAGTGACCATCAGGGGCAGGGAGGGAGGGGAAAAGGAACTGCTGATTCATGGATAGTTTTTGGTTTGCAGTAACAAAAAAAAATTTTGGAATGGCTGTGGTAACTGATATACAATATGGTGAAATTATTTATGATGAATATAATTAATATAATGGGACCAGAGACAAAATACAACGGGTGGGGCACTTGCCTTACATGTGGCAAACACAGGTTCAATCCCTGGTACCACATATGGTTCCCTGCACCCTGCCAAGAGTGATTCCTGAGTACAGAGCCAGGAGTAATCCCTGAACACTGCCAGGTGTGGCCCCATTCCCCTCCAAAAAAAATTTTATACTTAAAATGCCAAATGTTGTACAATAATGTCCAAAAGACTGGGATTTATGTTGGACAAACTTGCAGGCTATCAAATGTAGCCTGCCCACAGGGCAGAGTCTGGCAAACTCCCCTTGGTGTACCAAATATGCCAAATACCAGTAACAATGATGGGTCTCATTCTCCTAAATAGCCTTGAATATAATCTCAGGGCTAGGATGAAAGAGACGTTACTGGGGCCTGCTCGAGGCAATCGACGAATAACAGGATGATGAAATGAAAAAATGAAAAATGTACAATAATAACTTTCTCAAAACAAATACTGATGGTTTTCAAGAAGTTATCCTGAGGGTCAGGAGATGGCTCAATGGGGTGGGCACAATGGCTCAGCTGCCTGGATGTGAGTGAAATAATGACTTCCATCTTGGTCGCATCTGCATGTGCTAAGCATAATCACGAAAACTCAGGGGTCTATGACCCAGAGGGCTCCAGCATCAACATGGTGAAGAGTGTGTAAGTACCACAGAGGGTGCAACCCTGGGGAGAATCATGGCCAGGAAGCGACTCCCAGCAAGCATATCTATGAACACCCCAAGCCCTCATAAGCAACGTAACCAAAAAATACAACCACATATGTGAAGCATCACAAGTAAAAAAGTACAACCATCTCCAGCAATCACCGTGAACCAGCGTGCAAGCATACAACCTGATCTGCCACCCCTGAAAAGGACTACAACTAAAAAAAATGTGTGAGCCTGAAGCCAAGCACATGTACAACCCTGGTAACAGCAACAGACATCAGCAGCAAAGGAAGGGAAGGAGAGAAGGCTGTAGGCACAGTCAGTGACTTGACTAAAAAGCATCTGCTTTGGAGAGTTGAGACCGTGTCATTCCCACCGTCCCCCACACATACCAAGTGTGGTCCTGGCGGCTCTGTTAATTGGAAAACCTCCAGCACACAAGTATACAATCTCTGGCACACAATCAGATGTGTGCAAGACACAAAGTGAGACCCAGTCATCACAAAAAGTGATAAATATTTTAAATTTAGTATATATTTTTAAATTTTGACAGGGAAAGGGATATACCTGATAACCTTTCATTATCTATATTGCAAACCATAAAGCCCAAAAGTAAGAAGAGGGAGAGAGAGAAGGAAAGAGGGAGGGAGAGAAGGAGGGAGGGAGGGAGAGAAGGAGGGAGGAGGGAGGAGAGAGAGAGAGAGAGAGAGAGAGAGAGAGAAAGAGAAGAAAAGTGCCTGCCATAGTGGAGGGAGGGCAGAAGGCAGGAGGGAAACAGGGACCATTGGTGGTGGGAAAAGTACACTGGTGAAGGGACGGGTGTCGGAACATTATGTGATTAAAATCCAATCATGAACAACTTTGTAAATGTATTTATCACTGTGATTCAAGTTTTAAAAATTTAAAATAGATAAATATAAAAAAGTATTATAAACTATAAACAAACAAAACAAGATGTTGACAGGGGCCTGAGAAATAGTATAGGGGCTAAGGCTCTTGCCTTGCACACAGCACAGATTCAATCCCTGGCACCGCATATGGTCCCATGAGCACTGCCAGGAGTGATCCCTTAAGTGTGGGCCAAATCCCCTTCCCACAAATAGAGCAAATTTTTTTTAATAAAACGCAATTTGTGAAAAATTCAAAACTTTGTAGAAAGAATTACAGAGAGGTAAACTGGATAATTATATAAAGCTTTGTTTTAAAAAAATAAGCCTAATTTTCTCTTAAATATATTAAGAACTTCCTCAAATCCAAAAGGAAAAAAAAAAACATGAGAAAACTAGATTATTTTTTTAAGAAGTTTTTTTATTGGATCACTGTGAGATAGTTTCCGAAAATTGTTAACGGCCACTCACTAAAGAGGAAATCCAAATGACTCAAAAAACATGCTCACTCTCTACCGTAAGACATACGCACATTAAAAATATCAGAAAAAAAAATCCAATCTCATCAAAAAATGGGACAATGAAATGAACAGAAACTTTCTCCAAGAAGAAATTCAAATGGCCAAAAAACACATGAAAAAATGCTCTCCATCCTAATAATCAGGATATCAAAACAACAATGAGATATCATCACAGATATCATCACAACACAGACCGACACACATCCAAAAGAACGAGAGCAACTAGTGCTGGCATGGATGTGGGGAGAACAGGACTCTCCTTCACTGTTAGTGGGAATGCCAACTGGTCCAGTCTTTTTAGAAAACAATATGGGTGTTTCTCAAAAAAACTAGAAATTTAGCTCCCATTTGACCCAGCAATACCACTTCTGAGAATAGACTCTGGGGGCTCAAAAACACAGCAGAAATACCATCTGCACTCCTATGTTCACTGCAGCATTATTCACCGTAGCCAGAATCTGGAAACAACCTGAGTGCCCAACAGGGACAACCAGGTTCATCCCCAGCATCCCATATGATCCCTGAAGCACCGCCAGGAGTGATTCCTGAGAGCAGAGCCAGGAGTAACCCCTGAGCACCGCTGGGTGTGACCCAAAAAATGTAAAAAAATGTAAAAAAAAAAAAAACCTTAGTGACCAAGAACAGATGAATGGATAAAGAAACTATGGCACATCTACACAGTGGAATACTATGCAGCTGTAAGGAAAACTGAAGTTATGAAAATTGCCTATAAATGGATGGACATGGAGAGTAGCATGCTGAGTGAAGTGAGTCAAAAGGAAAGGGACAGATACAGAATGACTGCATTCATTTGTGGTATATAAATAAATACATAGTAGAAGACTAATATCCATGGCCAGGGAAAACACGGTTTAGGAGGACTGGTCAATGGCTGGAAGTAACCACAAGAGCCTGCGGGGCTGAAGGTAGATAAGACAGAGAAGAGACCAGAATGAAAATAATGGCTGGGAATGATCATGCTGGACAAGATCTGAGGGTGAAAAGTAGGTAAAGGGTTATTCTTGATAACCTTTCAATATCAATATTACAAACCACCGTGCCCAAAAGGGGGAGAGAGGGAGAGAGAGAGAGAAGGGGGGGGGGGGGGGGGAAGTGCCTGCCATAGAGGCAGGCAGGGGGTAGGACATGGGGATTGGGGAGTGACACTGGTGCTGGGAAATGTACACTGGTGTTGTTATACTGTATGACTGAAATCCAATCACGAACAGCTTTGTAAGGGTATATCTCACCGTGATTCAATTAAAAAGTGTCTTTTAAAAAATCAGAGAGTGGAGTTCATGCACAATCCAATCAGCCTAATCAGTGGCTGAATAACCTACAAAATAATTTAAAAAAATCAGAGCGATATGGTCAGAGAGATAGTACAGAGGATAGGACATTGACCTTGCACACCGACGACTGGTGTTAGATCCCCAGCAACCCATATGGTCCCCTGAGCCCACCAAAAGTGATTCCTGAGTGCAGAGTCAGGAGTAACCCTGAGCACAGCCGGGTGTGGTACAAAAGAACAAAAACAAAACAAACAACATATATGATATACATGCACGTATAATAATACACATATATGTTATATCATAGGAGGGTCAGGATTTAATACAGCAGCTCTCATCCAGATTCAACCTCAGACACCTCTAGGCCCTGCATTACTGGGAGAGGCCCTGGTGGATTCCCACATCACAAGGCTCAGGAGCACTGATTCCTGAGGCCCAACTACCAGCCTTGGGCAGCCGCCAAATAAATAAAACTATCAAGTACAATTCTTCACGTACCACATTAACAAAGATAGGAAAACCCAAATTACTTAAAATGAGCATGCTCTGGGCCGGGGTTATGGTGTAGTGGCTAGGGCCGTGTCCAGCATGCACCTGGCCTGGGGTCTGGTTCCTGCCCTACAGGGTCCCCTGACACCTGCGAGCACGGCCCTGGGGGTCCCCAGCAGAGCCTGGGCTGCCCAGGTACCCTGCACAGGCCCCTCTAACCTGAGCGGCAGCCCACTCCTGGGCTCCTGCACTTGACCGAGGGCCGGGCTGGTGCAGCCACGCCCAGGGCGCCCAAGCATTAGACCCAACTACGTCACTCGGGGAGCCGATTCCGTGTCCTGCTACACGACAGTGTCTGAAGGGGATTCCTGCACTAGGATCTGAAGGGCACCCGCGCACGTGTATCTGAGCATCTGGAGGGCACTCCAGCACGAGTATCTGACGGATACTCGCGGCGAAGGCGGGCGCGCGCCGCCGGGAGCCGAGGGCGGGCAGGGCGCGCCCGTCTGGACCCGTGGCCCTGGCTGCGGTGCTTCAGGAGGCGACTGTGTGCTCGCGTGTGGTGCGTGCTTTCCGGAACTGCAGCGCGGGCAGACGGGAGGCGCCCTTCTCCTCGGGGCCCCCGCCGCGCCGCAGGGCTGAGCCCGCCACCGGCCACGGGAGCGTCGCTGAAAACCTGCCAGGCGCGGCGGCCGCGGCGAGGCCGGAAATGGCCCCGGGCGCGCCCTGAGGCGCGGCGCGAGCGACGGGCGGCGGCCGCGGCCCCACTTACTTGTCTGGGCCGCGGGGTGCTCCCGGTTCCTCTGGAAGGGGTACCTGAAGAGCAGCTTGTTGCCCCTGCTCCCCGAGCTCACCAGGATCACGCTGAGGGGGCTGGTGTCGTCGCCCATGCCCGGGCCGGACGACGGGAGAGGCGGGCGCCCCGACCCCGGCCCAGACACCAGCGCCCCGACCCCGGCCCCGGCCCCGGCCTCGACCCCCAGCCCGCAGCTTCGCCAGACCGCGCGCAGCCGCAGCGGCGCCCGCCGGACCTGCGCCAGGCCCGGCGGTCACGCGCAGGCGCGGGAGGCCGAGTGCGCAGGCGCGGGCGGCGGGGCGCCGGTCCGCGGCGGCCCGGGTCCCCAGGTCGTGGCCGGGTGCGCAGATGGGGCCAAGTCCTGCACTAACCCCACCACCGGAAATAGATTCAAAGGACTTAGAGGGGCTGTTCAAAGCCCCCGGGCCCCTGCCTTGCAGGCCGGGAGAGCCCCGGTGTACAGGGTTTGCCTTGCACACGACCAACCTGGGTTCGGTCACCTGCGTCCAATACGGTCCCTGGAGCACCTCCAGGAATAATTCCTGAGACTCGCTGAGTGTAGCCCAGAATTAAACAAACAAAAAAGATCCTCGAGTTTGATCACTGTTTGGCACTGAGGCTGGGTGTGACCCAAAACACAAATTTTAAAAAGTTAATGCAATTAATTGGTTAATGCCAGGGCTGACGCGATAGCTCAGCGGGCAGGCCATCTGCCTTGCACGCGGCCGACCCAGGTTCGATTCCTCCACCCCTCTCGGAGAGCCCAGGGAGCTCTTGGGATACAAGAGTATCCCACCCGCAAGCTCCCCTTGGCTACTCGATATGCCAAAAACAGTAACAAGTCTCACAACTTGTGAGACATTACTGGTGCCCGCTGGAGCAAATCGATGAACAACGGGAGGACAGTGACAGTTAATGCCAGAAAGATAGTACAGCGGTTAGGGCACTTGCCTTTTCGATTTCTGGCATCCCTTATGGTCCCTTCAGCACTACCTGGAATAATTCCTAGGTGCAGGCCAGGAGTAACTCCTAGGCATCACTGACGATAGCCAGATGTGCCGCCCCCCACCCAGAAATTAAATTTTAAAAATCTCTTCTTGGCTTTTGGTTAAGATCAAGTGTATCTGTTCTAACCAGTTTAATAGCTGATATATCCTCTATTCTAGGATAATATATTAATGAATTTTTGGAGCAGGTGTTTGGAATAGAAACTTGCTCCATCTATTCCACATATCCACCTGATATTGCAGGATCTCCAGAAATTGTGCACCTTCCTACAAAGTAATTAAAAGTAATCGTTTGAGGATATGATTCAGCGGTCCAGTACAGGCCTCTTATGAGGACTTGGCTTCTATCCCAGGTACCCCTCCAACCCACTCCCCCCAAAAAAGTAAAAATAAGTCATTTTATTTAGGCTTGTTTTGGCCACCCCCTGCAGTGCTCAGGGTTTACTCCTGGCTCTTCACTCAATGATCACTCCTGGTGGGGCTCAACGTACCCTATGTTGTGCAAGGGAACCAACCTGAGTCTGAAAGTGCAAAGCAAATGACTTAATCCCTGTTTTATCATTCTGGCTCAACACAAATCACTGAACAGATCATAGAACTAAATATGTGTTAATGCTATAAAAATCTTAGGAAAGGACCAGGTAGACCACTCAAAGAACTGAAGCACATACTTTGCATGTGGGAGACCCAGGTTCAATCCCTAGGGCCACATGGTCACATCCCCCTCCCAACCCAGCAGCACTGGATAGATAGACCCCTAAACCCAAGCCAGGAATAGGCCCTGAGCACCACAAAAACATTAGAAGAGGGACTGGAGAGATAGCACAGCAGGTAGGGCATTTGCCTTGCACATGGCCGACCCAGGTTCGATTCCCAGCATCCCATATGGTCCCCTGAACACCGCCAGGGGTAATTCCTGAGTGCAGAGCCAGGAGTAACCCCTGAACATCGCCAGGTGTGACCCAAAAAGAAAAAAAAACATTAAAAGAAAATAGCACAGGTTAAATATTCATGATCTGGAGCTGGAGAGATTGTACAGCAGATTGGAGGCTTGCCTTGCACACGGCCAACCTGGGTTTGATTCCCAGTATTCCATATGGTCCCCCATGCACCACCAAGACTATTTTCTGAGTGCGAAGACAAGAGTAATTTCTGAGCATTACTGGGCATGACTCCCCCACAAAAAAATGCATGATCTTAGACTAGAAAATGGTTTCTCAGACATGATAACAAGTAACAGAAAAAAATTGAATTTAATCAAATTGAATAGCAAAATGAGTACCCACAGAATGATAGGAAATATGTATTTATAAATCAAATCCATAGATTTTATTTAAAACATTTACAAATTATAAACCAACAATGAATGGGTAAGTATCCAATTCAAAACTGAATAAATGTTGTGAACAAATATTCTCTAAGACCATATTTTTAGGCCAATGAGAACATGAAAAGACGCTCAGCATCTTAGGGAAATGTAACTCAAAATCAAAAGATATATCACAGACACATATTAAAGGACCAGGGATGTAGCTCAGTATAGAGCACTTTCCTTGTGTGTGTGTGAGTACCCGGGTTCAATCACAACACACACACACACACACACGGTATATTTAAAAGACAAAATACGGACTAGAGAGGTAGTACAGCTGACAGAGCACTTCCTTGCACACAGCCAACCCAGGTTTGATTCCTGCTATCCCATATGGTTTCCCCAAGCACCATCAGGAGTGATCCCTGAATGCAGAGTCAGAAGTAAAGAGTAAACCCTGAGCACCACGGAGTATGGCCCAAAAACTAGAAAAAGAAAAAAAAACAGTATGAATAAGGATGTGGAGAAATTAGAATCATTTTCTCATTCCCATGTGAGCCAAGAAAATTAATGTTTATTCACAAAATTTGTTTATAGCACCAGTATGCGTTATAGCCCCAAAGCAGAAACCATCCATATCCCCTACTCAAAATTTGGGTGAATGAAACATGTCAGAACTCCGTGAAATAGAGTAGTATTGAGTTGTAAAAAGGAATGAGATACTGGACTAGAGCAATAGTACAGTGGGTATGGCACTTGCCTTGCACGCAGATGACCTGGGTTCAATCCCCAGCACCCCATATGATCCCTGAGCCCACCAGAAGTGATCCCTGAGCACAGAACCAGGAGTAAGCCTTGAGCATTGACTAGTATGGCACCCCCAAAAAATAAATACTGACCTTTGAATTAACCTAAAAACATTACACACAGTATGTTTTCCACTTATATAGAGATAAATTCAGTAATAGAGATAAATTCATAGATAGTGTTACCTACATCCCTGGATGTAGTGTTAGCTACATCCCTGGTCCTAATTGGATACTTACCCATTACCTAGTGGTACAGAATTTCTTTGGGGGTCATGAAAATAGTTTTAAATTTAGTTTGGTAATAGTTGTGAAATTCTAGTAATAGAGATAAATTCATAGATAGTGTTACCTGGTACAGGATTTCTTTGGGGGTCATGAAAATAGTTTTAAATTTAGTTTGGTAATAGTTGTGAAATTCTATGAACATACTAAAAGTAATTAAATTGTGGGACTGGAGAGATAGCACAGCAAATCGGGCACTTGCCTTGCATGCTGCCAACCCAGATTTCATCCTCAACATCCAGAAGGAGCAACTCCTGAGTGCAGAGTCAAGAGTCACCACTGACAAACAGCATCTCCAGCTGTGGTCGCAAAGCAAACAAATCAAAAACTAAACCCATTGAATTATAGCGTTTGAATGGGTGAACTCTGGAGGTAGGGAGATAGTACAGAAGTTGAGTTGCCGCTAAGCGGTGCAGGTGCCTGCTGCGGCTGAGGAGCTGAGCGAGGCTCAAGTTCAGGTTCCCAGTAACAGGATGGAAACCATGAGCAGAGAAGCCAGACCCAGCTCGACCCACAGGATGTTGTGCCTCGCTCAGGCAGTTCAGTGCACTGCAGAGCACTCCCTTCCCCTGCAAGCACCCCACACCTCTGATTCCTGACTAAAAAACAATTCGGTTTTATAAATTGCTTTTCTCAAAGCAAGTAAAATTTTGAAAACTAAACTCGGGACCCTTCCTCCAAGCTTGGGTCTCTACAGGCAGGGCCACAAGGCTTCCTGGTCAGCTGGGCTTTATCAATCCTGCCATTCGGTCTGGCCCAGACGATAGACTGACGGCCATCTGTCATAAGACTGGGAGTGGCACAAGGCCCTATCTCGGAGCCCTCTGGACACCCTCACCTTCTCAGCTACAGTGTCCATTCCTGGAAAGAGTCATTCACCCATAGGCATAACTACAATAATCCTGATTTTACATTGCCCTGTCCTGAGCTCCTATGAATCAGAGTACCCCTCCTAACTGTGAGGGGGGGAGGTGACTGAAACTACCCACTTCCTGGGCGATCCAGACAATAAAGTGAGGCCTGTGAAGTTATCTGCCTGCCTACGATCATCAGGGGCTTTTCTCAGGAGAAGGGCTATTGACCTCTGGCCTTTGTTCACTTGTGACCAGGGCCCCCTGATCTCTGGCCTCTGGTCACTCATGACCAGGACCTTCTGAGCTCCGGCCCGCATTCAGGAGCTCAGAATGTGTCCAAAGCTGAGAGCTGAATTCTGAAGCCAGCAGGAGTCAGTACCCTGGGGCCCCTAGCGCCACAGTGGGGACCAGAGTGCTGAGATCCACAGATCAGGGAGCCAGAGCTAACCAAAGGGCTTCTAAGACTGAGTGCCCTGCATGGAAACTTAGTATAAGTTTCATGATTCCCCAGGACTGTCTCCTGATCATAAAAGGTACAATGACAACAAAATAAAAGTTCTCTCAGAGGGGCTGGAGCTATGGCACAGCGGGTAGGGCATTTGCCTTGCACGCAGCCAACATGGCTGACACAGGTTCGATTCCCAGCATCACATATGGTCCCCCGAGCACCGCCAGGAGCAATTCCTGAGTGCATGAGCCAGGAGTAACCCATGAGCATCGCCGGGTGTGACCCAAAAAGCAAAAAAAAAAAAAAAAGTTCTCTCAGAGACAGCTGAGGGGCCACACCACTGACATGAGAATCGTTACTAAGCCCATGACTTGAAGCTCAGGACAAATGTCTGCTAAGATCAAGCAGCAGGTTTCACTGGCCCCGTGAAGTTCTAAGAACTATGAGTCCTGAGGTCTAAGAACTCATCCCAGCTGTTGGCAAACAAATACTGGAGGTTCTCTTCACCTCTATATTTGGCTCTAAACTTGTTTTGTTTTTCTTAATTAGTTAACTTTGCATAATGCAGGACTAACCATTTTGGTTTTTCTTTGAATTCAGCTATTTATTATTACACATTGTTACAAAAAAAGCTTTAGTTAGGGGCTGAGAGATAGTGCAGGGGGGTAAGGCCTTAGCTTTGCAGTGCGGCAGATTCAGGTTTGATCCCCAGTGTCCCATACGGTCCCCAGAGCATTGTTACGAGTAATTCCGAGTGCAGAGCCAGAAGTAACCCCTGAACATTGCCCGGTATGGTCCAAATAGCAAAACAAACTTTTGTTTTAAGAAGACTAGAGTCCCGGGGTATGGTGCCGCCAGCAGGTCTATCTGTACCTGTGAGGCGAGTGCATCAGCAGCCTGATGGTGCCTTCAGACTTCCAGATACTCCAAAATTGCTGCTGTGCCTTTGGCCAGACCCCAAAAACTTGGGGGAAAGTTTACCAAGAAAGTAAACGTCCAGAAGTTAGGTATGTGGGAAACACACCCACAAACCACCTCTGGCTCAGCTATATAATTGGAGGCATGGCCTCTCTGGTTCCTGATTGAACTGCTTAAAGGCCATGATCCCAGAGACTCAGAAACAAATCTTGAAACCCAACGGCTTTTGGCAGAAATGCATCTGGTCCCTGCAGTAGGTCACTGGTGCTGGACCAATACAGGTGGGAATAGGTTTTGTGCCTTGGCCTGTTTCTCCTGGCGGCCCAGTGGACGCCATTCTTCAGAGGCCACTGGACAGTCAGGTTTGGGCCCCCAGTGATGAGACACGCAGGGCCTCACAGGATGGGGGTGGAGCCGGTCCTGTTCTCCCCACCCCAACGAGACCCCAAGTCATCGCCCACGAAGAGCCTCTCTGGCTCCTGATCAAACTGTTTAATGGCCATGATCCCAGAGACTCAGAAACAAATCTCGAAACCCAGTGGCTTTTGGTAGAAATGCTTCCGGAACCCACAGTACGTTACTGCCGCCAGGCCACCCCAGGGGGAAAGGGTGTTGTCCCTATGCCTGCTCCCCCTTGGCGGCTTG